TCTCGTTAATATATATGATTAATTCATCACAAGAAAAACAGTCAGCTGACGATGCAACGTAAAAAGGTTAAAAAAGGACCGATAAATATGAAAGCAAAAGAAACCGAGTGTAATTACATATCACAGGTATTGATTAATTGTCTTGTATTTGTTACTCTTTTGAAGAAGAACTTCTGAGCTCTGTACCTTTATGAAATGACAAGCTATTAGTTTGGCGTTGACAGAAGCAAGCTTCAAAAACGCCTTTGAAAAACCTCCTTATGTCTGGATGATTTCTTGCGTAGATTATTGGATTCACACATCCGTTGAAGACACTTAGATGTGTTAGCACACGCACCAAAAGAGAATAATCTCCACAGCGTACTCCTTCAAAATCTGACACCAAGAAATCAACTGCTCTGACCAACAGACTCATAACGATGGGCATCGTAAGAATACAATACAGCAGGACGATAACAAAAAACATCTTTGTGATCTTCCTTGAATCCTTGAATCTTTTGTTGGCTCCCGAGTTTGATGGTACGTTTCGTGCTGAGAGCGCAATGGCACATCTGATGTAGAAGACACACATGATAACCAATGGCATGACCCACCCTATGCAGCACCTCACCAGCTGAACGATTTGGGAACGGGTTGTCAGGGCTGCTGTCTGAAGTAAAAACAGTGGTGAAAAGAGAAACCCAAACAGCCAAACCAAGGTACAGGCAAGAAGTTTCTTTCCCTTTGTAATTCTTCTTGCTTGAAAAGGCTTCGCAATGGCCCTAGAAAATAAATTACGGTAAAACTCTTAGATTTCTTGCCAAAATCTGCCATTTGATAACAAAGCAACGCAAAAATCTCGCTATCTTCTTGAATCAATTACTTACAACACAAGCAGTCAAAGCAATCGGTACTCACTCACTAAACAATATTTTCAATACTTATTCAACAAACGATTTTATTTCGGGCACGATGTCGAAGTAAATTCTTCAAAAGTTTTAGATTGTTCTACTAGCAAACTACGAGCAAACTGCAGGGAGAGGATTTGAAATTGTTCCTCGCTGAAATGGGTAAATGTGAACAGATAATGGTGCAGTGGCTAAAGTTTTATATTTGCTTATCGATTTCGGAAAAAATGGCAGGTCTGGTACCATCTATCTGAGCCGTAGGTGCCCACAACTCGAGGGCAACATCGCTTTTTTCTTTCGGGATTCTATCAACAAAAATGTTTGCAAATGAGAAAATCTATACAATTAAAGCAGTGACTTATTGAGGTCATTGCAAGTTGAAGTGTATGTTGATATGCGACTCACCAGAATCGATCACAGGAAATAACAGCGTGTGTGTATGTTGTGACTACCATGCTGCCATAAATGAAGATCTTTGATGCCGTGTAAACTGTGTGATGGTTTTGTACACCAGACATTCGTAAAAAGAAAATAAACGGGAAGCTTATTGTGTAAATCAGGTCGGACAGAGCCAGAGACAGCACAAAGACATCGCCACCACGTTGAAACTTCTTTTTTCCTACGAAAAAATAATAGTTCAATTTTTAAGATACGATTTATAGGGGTGCAAGAATCTTTAAAGATATTCTGGGCAACGATAAGCTTACAAGTGGGAGAGGGAAGGCACTGGATAACAGAAAAAATAGGAATTTTGGGCGGTACAGTTTCAGATGTGTTAAGTCATATTAACAATGGTACTACAGATAATTAATAAACAAATAACTTATTTGTTAACATCGAGTTATCTAATGTTGTGCAATTGATCGAGTGCAAATCCTGTATTTGAAGTTTTTAGATTAAACCAAGGTCTTTGGAGCAAATAGTGTTTTCATACCTAAAATGCAGCAATTGACGGCATTCCCGAGGGCTGCAAATACAAATACAACAACCAAGTAAACTCGCATTATGATTTTCTCATTCTCGCCATATTGTGTCATCTGACACGAAACAGTTGCATTGATGTTGGAACTTGTGATCAAAGTCCCAGTCCCATTCTTCTCCATTAAAAGAGAATTGTTAGAAAACGACATCCTTTCTTTTCTTATTTTCCTTCACCAAGATTGGAAATCAAAATTCAACTGGTCTTTACATTTTTATTTCACCTTTTATACTCTTTGACCAGAGAAACAATACGCAAATCCACCTTACAAGGAATCAATTAACTAACTGTTGAAACTGTCTTTATGTAAAGAAAAGATAGCTTAAAATAATTGATCACCTGTCCTTTGGCTATAAGCACGCAAAACGAAATCTTCTCGGAAGATTCAAAGCGATGCAAAATGTTTACACTCACTTGTCATAACAACAACCACTTTCTTTATGTTTTATAAATTGAAAAAACAAAAACAAGGATAATATTAGCAAGCAGTATCAAAGAAAAATTGGAATTATTGAGATTGTGCCTAGAAACAAATAGACTTTGGAAGTAAACACAATTTATGAGGGAAATTATAAAAGACTTATTGCAAGTTGTATATGAAATTTAATAATGATTAACATTTGATAACTGCATTGTGCTAACTTTAATTTCATGCGACGCACATGTTTTTCCTGCCAAATGGCGTTTTACAACTGATTTGATTGGAATCTTGAGGCAGAAAAGTCTATTTTCACTGTATTAATAATGTCGACATTACAGAACTATATAAAATACATTTGCTTTTAGATTTTCCGAAACTCCTCTGACCACTGAGTATTTTTGTTATTTATCCGACAGTCTTGTTTCACAGGCCTAGTCTGTTAAATTAACTACAGTTCCTTCAAGTAAGTTCACCAGAACGAGAATGGGGCGCACTAGACCAGACTGTCTATTATTTTATATAGCGAGTCTGGCACCCAGGGTAAGGACCACCCAACTTCCCCTCATCCCCTCCTTCAACTATGGTGAGGGCCTTTTAGTGCGGCATGTGATGTACAATTTTTAATAAAGATCTCAGAAAAAAGTATTGAAAAAAGTTTGGGTGGGGGCCTATTCGAGGGGGGGGGGCTGCTTATTTCAAAGTTTAGTATTTTCCTCAAAGATCGATATAAAAACGACATAATTTTCTCAATGAAATAAATTGAAAAATTACAAAAAGCATGAAGATCTAGCAAACATTATAATTTTTTATCATCACAAAAGTCGCTTTTTTGCATTTTGGTCTCCAGTCAAAGGTAGTGTTATTATAAAGCTATTGTCTTCTGGGGGGTTTCTTGAAATAGGAAATCATTATACAGTTATGCTTCTCTTGAATAAGCCCCCATGAGGATTTATCGAAGGGGAGGGCTTGTTTGCAAAAATTGTTTTTTAGGTGAGGGCTTATTCGAGTGGGGGCTTATTCGAGCGTGGGGGCTTATTCGGGCGTGGGTGCTAATTGGAGGATTTACGGTAGTGTATCGATACGTGTAGAGAAAAAGGTTGTTTTCGTTTTCTTAAGAAAAATTTCTAATTATCGTAGACAGGGAATTTTGTAGGAAAAACTAGCAAACTGCCTAACCTCAAATTTTATTTCACATTCTTACTAAATCAACCATGGAGATTATAAATCCAAGATGGGCCAAAAAAATTTATCATCGGAAGTTACTGTTTTTGATGACGTCATAAAAAAAAATAAAGAAAATTCTTTAAAAACCAACCAAGGACTTGACTTCAACTTTTCTTGCATTTTTGCACTAAATTAACTATGCAGATTTCAAATCTGAGACGAAATGAAAAATATCTTGAGCGGAAGTCAAATTTTATGATGACGATATCAACTTGGAGAAAATTCGCTTTGAACCTTTTTAATTGTTTTCTCGCAACTATCATTGTCAAATATGTTCCATATTCGAATAGCACACATTCAGTGCTTTTGAAAGATGTATTGAATTACTATCATACTTACTTTTAAACGTTTTTTCATGACGTCATCATCATTTTTTGACGCCATCTTCCTTTAAAGGTAGTTGATCCATAAAGGTTGATCACCAGTGGCGTAGTGTGACTTTTTCAACTGGATATTCTCTATCAAAGAAAAGGGTGGGGTAGGGTGAGGCTCGGTGGGGCTTGGTGAAAACAGAGGATAAAAGGAAGATTAAAAGGACTAGCTATCGACATTTTATCTATTTTCTTTTTGGTTCGGTTGGCAAGTACTGCACTGTCAGGGTGTTACTGTGATGAAAACAACAATACTTCGCTGAAGAACGCAACGCAAATACACTCTTCGAACTCATAATTTCATCAAAAGTAATCCAAATCAAAACATATCTTTGAACTTCAGTAAAAATATACTGGTCGAAATATATCACAATAGTTGTTGTTGAATTCTCTAAAATATGAACTGATGTAAAGAGGAAGTAACTGTAAACACCTACTCTTGATACCCTAATGCAAAAAGGCTTTCGAAAGTTTCGAAATTATTCACATAGGGCATTATAGGAGTTATATATAGTTTGTGGTATGCAGTCTAGACTTTTTTCTTCATTGCCTAAACGTGACATTTTCAATACAAGTTAATGTCTGAGAGTATCGAAGGTAATGAGATGAGACTGCACAACAATGCAAATGAATGTGCTCGAATAATGCAAACAAAATAGGGCAACAATATAACTGAATGCACCAGGCAACTATAAGGATATTATCCAGGCCTATCTGCATTTATTATATTCTATCACATAATACAGAAGCATCCCTAACTGACAAGCAATAACAACATTGGCATTTCAAGGGCACAGATCTGAGTCAGTGTAGTATAATGCAGAAGCCTACCTTTCCTTTCCACTTTGCTGTTGGTAGATTAAGATTAGGGGTCAAATGAGAGAATGATTATGAAACACTAAGACGTACATTGCAATAGTTTTTAAAAGAAGTTGTATTTACTGTTTTCGATGAAGCTCCATCACTCCAACCGCTCCGACGTCCATTAGCTGTTTACATCGATTTCAAAGCGAGACTATTTTGAACCAATTTCTACCATTGTTTTAGCTGATTAACGGCAAATATTATTCATGGAAAAAGCATTTTGATTGGTTGATGTACCGTCTAGTGTATTCACTGCGTATTTATGACCGATCTCCATTCAACAGGAAGTCCTGTACGCTTTATAAAACATTATGCAGTCAAAGTCATAAATCTCAGATAGTAAACTCCCCCTATCAAATTAACTCTACCCTAGAACAGCTTGTTCTTGAAGAAAGAACCCAACAGAATTAGAGAACGAGAAATAAAATATGATTGTCGTTATATAATTGCAAGATACACACACTGAGAATACATGATTCAAGACAAATAGGGTTCTCGAAATTCAAAGCGAGAGCATGGAATCAACTGAAAAATTTTAGGCGAAAGAAAAAAACAGATTCATTCAACAATAAATAGAATTATCTAAAATATGGAAATGGAGGCATAAGGAAATTAGACAGGAATTAGAAGGAAATAGGAGAGAAATTAAACAATCGAAAAAATTGTACAATTGCTCAACAATAGAAATTTGTTGAAAAAGGTATTAAAATGGTGAATTCATTCAGCTTTGGCTGCAAACTGTACAAATAACATCGTAAACCTGTTTTCGAAAATGATTGAGTCCTTTATCACAATTTGAGATATATTTTCAGTAATCAAGGGGTAGTGTACACTGTTTTAATGTATTATCATGGATTTTCACCCATAAGAAGTTTCTACCAAATTTTAGCGACTTTCCAAAATGTATTAGCTTTTTTTGAACGGATATAGACAGGTCAGTACTTTTGAAAACCTTTTCCGGAATTACAAGATGAGATAAATTGTATAAAATCAGAGAATACTAAAAATTGTTCTACCATATTATCATGGATTTTCACCCTGAAGACACCACTACCAAATACTACGAATTTCCTCAAATGTATAGGCTTGTTTTTTAATGCAAATAGACTGATCAGAATTTTTGGAAAACTTCTTCCTAAATTATAATTAACAATGCAAGATTTGAAATTGGCTTTGAAACAAACAAAAATTTTACAGCATACTATGATACATTGCATGCTGTATACAATATTTGACGGTGAACATTGCTGTAATGTATTGTCACGAATTTTGATTTATAAGAAACTTCCACCCAATATTACTTATTCACCCAACTGTAAAGGCATGATTTTGAAACAAAATAGTCAGATAAATCTAATTATAAGCTTTCCATCATTTTATTGTGAGATACAATTTAAAAATAGTGAACATTGTTCTAATCCCTTTTTAAAAACTATGGCCTTAGTTATATTCAAAAAAGGAGAAATTCTCAAGGTTTGTACGCCAAGAGTTGTGTTTACGGCATTTTGCCTTTTACTGACTCAAAAAATGTTTTTGTTCTATGTTCTGAAAGAAAAGCTTCTTGCGGGCCATCTTAACTCAAAGTCTCACCGTGTGTTGTCAAGTCAGTGCGTTAATTGGGGTTGGCTCCGTTTTTCAGCTTATACAAGAATGAGTTGCTCTGATTATATCGCACTACTTATATAAAATGATAGAAAAAGCTAAACAAATATTTTATAAAATGTGCGTATAACACAGATATTTTGATACAAAATATGTTCATAGTTTTATAATTCATTCGCGCAAAAGTGCTGCAATATTCTCGTTGCTGGAAAATATCGCTGGAGCGGTAAGATCTCTTATTCATACATGTTTTCATAAGTACCATACGAGTCGACGACAGCTTGAGCAGCAGTGTAGCAGAACTTGTACTGAACCTAGGCCAAAGGAGAACAAGCGATAAAACTTTAGAAAATATGAACAGTATTTCAAATAGGGCATCAAATTTTTGCCGCGAAAGATAGTAAAAATTTCCTGTGGGCTGTTGATATTTGCAACTACAGTGTATTTTAAGCAGCCCAGTTTCTATTGGAATTACCTCGTATCCTTCCAAAAAACGTTCAAAACGCGTATAAATTGTTTGGTCCTGTCAGCCTGTGCCTTCTCAATTTACATTTAATTGTGTGTACAGCAATTAGATTTTCTATACATAAGCACCAATTAAAGTTAAAATGAAACAAAGTGAGGACAGGACCATATAAGATTGAAAACTGCCGTCGCTCATAATCTTCTTTTTCCTCATTTATAATCTTTCTTTCTAGCTTAGGAAAAAACAAGTAATTGAAAGGATTATAGAGAGAACGGCAACTTTAAACAGAAGATAAATGCTTCTGTACAAGCGATTGTCTTCCTCTAATAGCCAGAAATGTAAAAAAATTACTTACGGCATTATCCACAAACTCAGGTCGAAAACCTCTGATCAGTTTGATTGCCTCAAAGACATCTATAACTTGTTCTGCCTTGAACCGTTCCAGAATGAGTGAAATAGCGATAAATGTGCCAGAGCGACCAGCACCATCTCTTTAAGACAATTAAAAATATAAAATTATATCTTCTTTTACACTCTCTTATCTCGGTAGGATATCGAAAGATATTTCAGTTGACAATGCCTTCTAAGAATCATTCAAACGTAGCAGCCTCAAAACTTTACTTTTTTATCGAAATAAAGAAATTCTTATAATACTCTCCATTGTTTGATGAGGGTTGCTGCTTCGGAAAAGGTAAAGATATTTGCCTTATTGTCAATCAAAGGAAAGCGGAATTACCCATGTGACTTCAGCACTGAAAGGCATTTTTTAAACACCTTAGAAGATTTTAAACACATTAACAAAAGATATTGAAAATTCCAGATAACTATATTATGCTTCTAAATAATGCCGAAGCAGGATTTCCCACATCATTCAAACAAGTCCAACTAATGACTCAGTTCAACTTTGCAGTCATAACTAAAAATTAAGTTTTTATACAACGACAGAAAAACATTTATATTCTTCTTTCTTTTCCTCGTGAGCTGGAAGTTTTAAAAATTGCTTGAAATGAAAGGCGGGGAAAAGGTTGAAATCAGTTAATTTGAAAAAATTTGATTTTACACCTGCTATATTTATTACCTGCAGATGATTACAACTGGTCTGTCATCAGACTGATTTTGTTTCTGTGTTTCAACTTTGTTTAGCAGCGATATAAATTTGTCCAAGTCTTTTGGAACGCCATGATCAGTCCAACCCTCAAACTGGAGCATTGTCAGATTTCTCCATTTCTCTGCTGACTGTTAAATTAAATTCATACCAATAATAAAAAGCATTTATGCACAATTCTTCGTTAAAAATTTCAGGTAACAAATAATTGAAAAAATAATTGCAAAATATTATATAATCAGATAATCAACAGAAGATAAACAAAAACTAATGGAATTTTTGTCAATTAAACTTGCAAATCTATACAGACAAATATTTATAAAAGAAGAGCATGGTTGTAGTAAAGTACCCCAAATCTTTGCACAATCTCTAGACTGTCAGAGATGTAATGACTATTGGGGTCCTTATCCATCCAATTCATCCTTTTACAATATCTTTCTACATGCTTTTTTAGCCCATTTTCCCTTCCTCTGCTCATATACAGTCAAATATCATAGCTACGAAATCAACTTACGTCAACATTCCTGACAGTAAACATCCGTTCAATGCTGCCACTGTTGCTCTCCTCTGATTGGTGGTTTACTAAAACACCGCCATATTCCCGAGCTGTGTGCAGTGGAGGCCAAAAGATGGGAAGGTCCTAAAGAATAACATTATCGAAAGATGCAAAAAAATAAAATGGACTAGGAAGATGAACGTCAAAACCTTCCGTTAATGGTGAAAAGGGAAAATAAATGACGATTCTGACCATGTCGATACTATTTATATCACGTTAATAGGTTGGAAAATTACGTCAAGATTAAAGTAATGTTTTTGGGTACATTTGCCAGCCCAATACATTATCCTAGCTAATAAATACAACACCAATCAAATTTTTGATTATTCCAAGTTCCTAAGCTGGAAAACGTATGCTACATATGCAAGACATACATCAAAGTGAATAAGCAAAGGGTAAGCTAGCATTTCTGGAAAAGGAAAAGGATAACATAACAAGAAAATGTGTTGGCTGCCAAGAAACCTATTGGCAAAAAATGCAATCTGAAAATCTCATTAAAATCCTCAAACTAACCATGCTTCCATGAATAGTGTTGCTAAGCAGGACCGCCATAGACACTTCTGTCTGCTGAATCATTAGCCAGAAATCGTCAATAGTCTCTGGCAGTGGGTGCTGTGTCGCGATGAAGGCGTTGAGTTTACTATAGCCCTAAAAGAAGAATCAGATTTTGTATAACGAATTAGAAAAATGTCTCTTGTAGCTGAGCGTGGCTTATTGTAAGAATATCGTCATTAAGAAACAACATGGAACATTTCATGCATGTTTAGTCAGGGAAAGAGGAGAGGGGAGACTCCATTCATTTAGAGTAATGGTGTTTTCCATGTCCATGCTCGTACTCGGACCTATTTGAGGCTAAACTATCATGCTTTTAGAGAAGCTCAATTATAGAAAGTTTGCGGCGATAGAAGTGAAAGATGTTTATCCTTCAGAATTCAGCTAACCAACTGCAGTTTGTTAAAGTGTCAGCTAACCACATGCTTCCCATTCTACACTAAAAACTATTAAAAGCAGCAATGTTGTGGAGGATGGCATCTCTCATTACCATTCTTTATTCTGTGGCTCAATTGAATACTCTGTCTATGCTTTTTAGCCGGATGGGAAGATTGAACGAAAAATTCTATCTCTGTTACACTCCGAAATCGAAGCTCGACTCTAAGCACCTGACATATATAAATGTCAATCAAAAAACATACATTCTGCCAAATTCTATCATTAAGATATCGGTTCAGGTATATTCATTGGAGTTATGAATTCATCATTTTTGTATGTAATTGTACATTTTGATTTAACTTTAGTTGGAAGACAAAATATCTTGGTGTTCAAATTGACAATAGTTTGGATTAGAAAAGAGCACATTAAATTGATCTCTGACAAGGTACTAGGACAATAGGCCTTTTAAATTGCGCAAAAAAAATTCTTCCTCTAAATTCCTTAACTGAAAAGATTTCTAAACTCTTTACGCTGGCATTATTGTACCCCAGCTCCGCTACTGTTGCGCTGTATGGTGCTGTTGTGGCATTACTGAAATCTCAAAACTTCAAAATCTTCAGAACAGAGCTGCTAGGATCGTAACGAATAACAGTTTTGATGTCTCTAGCAAACCCCTTATTAAGAATCTAGGCGGGAAAACAGTCAATGGCATGATTAAACATGATAACAGTAACGATTGTGTATAAATCTTTAAAAAATTCTTGCCTCAAACACTGTATTTCGGGAAATTAAGCAGGCGTGATGTTAATAAACAAGATAAGACCCTGTAAATTATAGAGGCTTCTTTGTTGGTTGACATTGGGTCTTTAAATAATTGAAATGAAAAATGAAATATTGCTTGAATAGATGATTCTCCTTCCCTCTTTTTAACTGGTCTAGAAACGCTTTTGTAGCTGAATTGGATCTGAGTTGGATTTGATGCAAAACTGCTTTAAGAAAATGAATCTTACATTTACGTAAGTGGCATTTATGTAGTCAGAACCACTGTTGTTTTCATAAATTGCCTGCTTCAAAACCACACGATGCACATCATCTGCAAAGAGACGAGAAAACATTAGGTATACCCGATGAGAATCAATTGCTTGCATCATAATATTGCCAATAAATACTTTTGACGAGGAACCAATAAACCCTTTTAAAATGCGGATCAGATAAGGTTGCTAAAAGTATGGCTTAAAACAAAGTGATGATGTTAAATTGTTATAAATCAGTTAAAACTTTATATAGACAGTCTATTAAGAGGCTTGAGAGAGGCCGGAGGTGTTAAAGAACTACGCTGGTTTACCTTGGCTGATAGAATTAAAAACGAAGTAATAATACAGAAATTTATGAGCAAAAGAGCTTTTGCATATGTAGTTATCGGTTATTGTAGAATATCATATCGATGTTATCGATGATATGAATATCATATGAAGACTCGTCATCATATTTATCATCATACCTTTTTCTAGTATTCTTTTTACCGTTCAAATATAAAAAATATGAAAATATGTCAGCAATTTTCTTTCATTCAAGAAAAATATATAGAAACTCAAAGTGCTCCAGAACGTCACAATACATATGCAAAATTTCTTGCAAGCAAACTCAAAATCATTATTGTGTTGGCTTTCTTACACAGCATCAACTTCTAATCAACGTACTTGGTATTATTTCTGTAATTCTGTTTTTTGTTATGTTGTTTCCTTCACTTCCAGCTCCAGCATTTGCTTCATTAAAGAATTTAGTTGTCCAGGAAAGTCGCTAAAACACACAGGAGAATCAAGTGGGAAAGAAAAGAGCTGGATGGTTTCGACCATGTAAATCAACGGGGGAGAAAAAAACTAAACATAATACGAAAGCTTTGTACTGCCCCATTCTTTATAAACCCCCTTTCAAATAAAAACACCACCCCCTATTCAAAGAAGAAGCTTGAATTAAGCCTCTTTCCTCTTTTAGTTTCCCCTGTACAACGTCTAGAAAACGAAGACAGTAAAGAAAAAATGAAAAATTAGTGCCAAAGTATACTGCGATATTTTTTTTGTCTGTCTCAGGTATTAACTTTTCTGGTCTCTCTTCAAAAGCCCTTTGCAGGGTTGATACGAAAACGTGAAAACTGGCTTCTTGATCGTGAAATTTAGAAAGCAACTGCTGAACTGAATGTCGAAGAATCAAAAATCATCTTGGCTGACTGATAAAAACTCCAACCAAATATTTCGTCTTCAAGGGCATTCTTTTCAGAACGATTGAAATCAGCCCCATCTCTGACGACACGCTTCTTTTAAGAGCCCACTCTAGACCCTCCAGAATAAGCTGGTCGGGTGCTTAAAGTCGTTGAGTCAGTCATAATAAAAGAAGAGGGTAAACCCAAACGTATTCAAATCTATTGAGTTGTGATTTTCGTGCTGTCATGCTATTGGTTGACCTGGAACTGGTCACAATAACTCAGCTCTAAATGATTAAGTAACAAATACTCAAATAGCAAAGAAAGCTTCGAAAGTTAGTCCAGAACAATCCATAACACTTCTCAAAGCTCTTTCTGGTGCTCAAGTCAACTGCCAGAAAAAGGCAGAGTTATAATGGGGATCTTATTTACAAAAGGCCTTATTTTGCATAAGACGGGTCCAACATAAAGGTTGAATTATTTTTTATTACCTCAAACTCTTCCTCGAATGAAGTTTTGCCAGTTACACCTTTGGGCTGCATTATGTTCATTCGACGTTTCAATTCCTGGGGTTTAATCACAGTTTCTTTGCAGCCTATGACTTGAAGCAGCGCATTATATGCAAAAATGTATTGTTCCTGAGAAGAAAACAAGAACATTTCATTGAAGAAAGCATCTAGCGTTAGAGAAATGGTGAATGTCAAAAAGAGTTTACAGCTACTAATTCCAAGGAACATCTCTAGCTTTTTGGTGATTTACAGCCTTTCTGCTTTTAGTTCATTGGTTGTTAAAGAAGATGATAATATGTAAAATAGCATGAATTTGTATTACCGTATTTGGAAGCAGGAAATACTTAGAAACTGATTTAGGACGCTTTTTTGTTTCGTATAGTTTTGTATAGTATTTTGTATAGTATTGAGGCTCTTAGTCCAACATAATAGTATTGGTGTTTGTACATAGGTGTAGATGCAGGTTGAGCAGTTGATGCTATAAACACAGCTAGAAAAATCAATTGAATGCAGCTAATACTGCATAGCGCGATAGTAACCAATACAATAATACTGCAATAATACTGCATAGCGCGATAGTAAACAATACAATAATACTGCAATAATACTGCATAGCGCGATAGAAACCAATACAATAATATTGCAATAATACTGCATAGCGCGATAGTAACCATATGTCAGGTAGCAAAGAGAAATATGCAGAAAACAATTAAGATTTTAAAGCTGTCACTCTCTTTTGGATCAATATTGACAATTTTACATTGCTGTGAATATTTTTGTCAATTTTTTGCATAAAGCAATAAAAGGAACCGCAGTATAGTATACTTAAATACTTTTTGTCGGAAACTCTTTATTTGAGTTCTTAACATCGGATAATTACCAAAGTTAAACAGAAAATATATTTGTCTATTAAATCTGTAACAGACAGTAAGTCATTAGTAGGGTACCTTTACTTGAACAAGACCAATCCTTTGACTTCGAATGAAATTAAGATAATTGAAAATGTCCACTTTTTGCTGGGCATGCGCAAGCCCGATCATTGCATCAATTAGAATGAATGTACCAGTCTGACCAATCCCAGCGCTTTTTATAGAAATTAAAAAAATATTTACGTTACAGTCTGCAACAACATTTGGTCATGCAAAAAACCTCATTATTTCAAATTTATAAACAATACACTTCGGAGAGAACTTAAACGTAGATAGTGATTGATCATAAATTATCAGGCAGCGCTACATTTTAAGCTACAAGTACTTTGGATGCTTAAAATAAATATTTGATTCCCTTTTTCCACATTTTTTCTAGGCTTTTTCGAAATTTTATTACAGAATATTTTAATGTAGAAAAAGGTTGAAAAACGACTGGTGTAAAGAATGAAACTTGAAATAATTCCTATTAAACTAACTGAGCAAAATAATCTTGAGTGTTTTTTAAAGTAACATGGAAGTCATGATATACCTGCAATGTACTACAATTGGATCATTTATGCTGTTGGGGAATCTTCTACGAAAGCTGGCCCACAAGTTTAACAAATCATTCAGGTGTTTTGGTACTCCGCATTCAGGCCAAGTCTTCAAATGGTACTGATAAACAATTTTTGCTTTTCTGCAATCCTCCTGCAAAAAATTCAAAAGGATTTGAAATTCAAAATGCTTTTCATCTTAAGTGTAAAATTCAAATTCAAATTGTTTATGGGTATTTTGAAAATTGTTTCTCCAAAGCTTCCCGTTGGCCCTGAAACTATAAACATGGCTGAAAAGTTGGTGAAAAAATAGAAGAAACTTTTGTGTAGTAATTTTCTAATTTAGGAAGGATACTTTAATGATACATACATATTTACGAATATTGAGAAAGCATCAAGCTTTCAAGAAAATGTTAGAATGAAATTTTGAAACAATGCAAATGCATTTTGCCCCGTCAAACTGCCAATTGCCATTCCAAAGATATTTTCTACCCTTCAAATCGGAAAACATATTACTCAGGGACCGATATTTGGTCAACTATTGGAAGGGGGTGGGGGTGGTAAGCCTGATGTATTGATAAGATGACTTCACGTTTGTCCAATGTTATATAAGAAACTGTCACGTTTTCCCATTGTTTTCCGTTTTAACTGAAAAACATCATAGTCCATCTCTACCATTTGAATCGAAAAACAACATATTATATCATTAGCATTAGATTGGTAAAAGATCATATTCTATCCCTACCCTTTGGATGGAAAAACATCTTATGGTATAGCCGTTCTTATCGTCGATTGACTTTAGGCAAACATTGATATTTCCATAATTTGCTGAACTGGAAGTAGGCCAATACTGTGCGCACATGTTCTAAAATGTGATAGCAAATGAATATTAAATTAGAATCATATTCAAATAGAAAATACCAGTTTAAGCTCAGCCAGAATTTACGGTAAGAAAATTATAAAAATTTAAAAAAAAACATTCTGTGTAATTTCTTACATATTAATTTTCCTTTCTACCGTATATTCCACTTCTCTGCATGATCAAAGAATTATTAAAAAAATCAAAGTAATGGCCCCTCTGTGATTTGAGTCATCATTTTGAAATATTGTTATGAAATACAAGAGAACAGTCTAAGATCTAAATTGGTATGATTTACCTTCCCCTTCTCAACAAGTTTTGTCAACATGATTATGGCTGGCACATGTTTGTCCCATATCATTCTCCAGAAGTCGTAAATCAAAGCTTCAGATGGACCTAAAACGAGCAGGCCCCATTTTAATTTCCCTTTTTGCAGCAGAATTTCCAGCAACGTTAATTTTTATTATGTTAATTATGTTAATCATGTTTTTTATGACAAGCATGCCGAATCAAGGAGAAAAATGTGCATATTATGTTCATTTCAGCTTTTTTTATTTTCATTGTATAACAAAATTTGCTGATTGTTGCCAAACTATATTTTAAAAATATTGGAAAATTACAAGAAAGTTTAAGGAAATTATTATTACAAAAATTATTAAGAAAATTGACGCACATGCGAAAACATATAAAATTTAATTGTAGGCATAAAGTAAATTAAAGAAGGAAATCCTCTTAATAGATTTGAAATAATCGAGCACATCCTAGTAGCTAGAAAAGAACAAATTTTGGCTTGATTTACCCAAAACCACAAACACTGCCTTTAGCAGTATCATAATATTGCACACTTTAAATAACTACAGTTTGTAAAAATGGTTCACAACTCACCTTGAGAAGCAATGTATTTATGCTTTCCTGTGTAATCCTAATTGAAGAAAATTTTCTCGAAAAATTGTCATTATAATTATCACCTTTCTATGCTCGAATCATTTTTAGTTACCGAAGGTGGTATTAATGTGAAAAAAATCCTTCTAAAAAGCTAGAAAAGTCGCTTAATGACTTGGGGTAATTAACACCAGCATGTACATAGATACAGTCATGAAATACCTTAGCTAGCTGATGTGTTCTTGCCCATATCAAAAACAGTGTCGAAATACATCTAATGATATTTTTTAAGCGCGGCTTTATTAGGTGGCAACTTAGCTTTAACAATTATATATATACTAATTAAAGGAAATGCTATAGTCACTAGCATTGAAAAAAGAAACGAGTGATTAAATTGACAAAATCAACGAAAGCTATAGATTTCAATTCAGTACTCAATGCCGATAAAGGATAGATAATAATATTGGATATGAACATGCGTCATGAGAATGTCATCAATAAAAGATGGAATCTATAATTTTGTGGCTTGTACTGCATCCCATCAATGAAATAGGATACAAATCATTTTTTACAACATTAATGAATTAGGATATTGTACTTAAAATCTATATCTCTAGTTTATGTTCATTCCCCCTCGGCTTTATGTGGAGTCCCTCCCTTTATGTGCAGCTACCTCCCTGTTCGGCGTAAAAGCTGGCAAACGTCGCGAGAAATACAGAATAATTAACAACAAGACCAACAACATCATAAGCAAAGCAAACAGAATCATATTACAATAAATACTTTTCAGAAGTTGATTTTCATTTAAAATATCTACAAGATGAATTCTGCTGACAGTGAATATCACTTACGGAAATATGGCTTGCATTAAAATAGTCCGAATCTTGGTCTCCAGGTAAAGTATTCAAGTGCACTCTTGAATGGTCATCTACACGTAATGAAAAGCTGATCAATTGCAAAATTAACTTTAGAATTATATCAGCAATTGAATTAAACTTTCTTTAATTAATGCGTAATACACGAAGAAGGCAATAAAAAGACCAAACCTGGTATGATTTTCGTAATGCGACAAGTTAAGCGGTTAGTTAGAGAAACCAGTTTTAGATTTTTTAGATTAGCCTTTTGGAGTGTCAGTATAATAGGAAAATCATACATGGTAATATATTGGCATGCACATTCTTCTGTTGGTTGGCTGGATCTGTAGCAATATCCCAGGCAAACTGTTGCCTCTTGTCAAGATTCTGCAAATCAACGCAAAGTATAGTAAAATTGTGATACGTAGATAATAGATAATAAAGCATTTACATTAACATCGTTCTTCTGAATTTACATTAACAGTCTGTTTCGTTAAAACCAGAAGCGCGAAAAAAGGATAAATTTAAACGCTGTGTTCAATGATCACCTCAAACTCCATGTTAATCCCCTGATAGTTGCGCTTTTGTAACTCTTTCGCGCGTCGTGCAAAGTCCTGAACAGAAACTGGAGGATATTTTTGATCGTTAACAACTTTACGAGGAACTTTTCCAAATTTTACAGCTTCATCTAAAAAAGCAAGATTAGCTTGAAGTACACTTGCAAAATTTCAACAATATTAATCAATAGTCAATCACAGAATATCAACTATTGCTCACAATAAAACCTATAACATGTTTATCATGTAAGGTACGTTCAATTCGACGAATATTTAGATCTGCCTACCTTAAGTGTCATTTTCACTCATTTGAGTGAATTCATCAATGTAAGAGTGCACAAAGTAATATATTCCGTAAATGTGAGGCACAAACTTTCTTAATATTAGTTAAGCAACTCGAAAGCCACCCTTAAGCCAAAACGTTTTTGGGAAATCGAATATCTTTTTCAATAAAGCCAGAATCTTTCTTTACAATTTTTGGCCACACAAGGGGTGAAAAAATATCTGACTAATTCGCATTTTTAGACAGGATTTTCATTTCAATATCTTATGGGTACTTTCAAATTTATTTTGGCTCTTTGAAAACTGTATGCAACTTCCTGTTCGTTTGATTCCATGAAAAGCCGCAATTGTAACATGATTAGAAATTACCATCTCTGATAAATTTTTGACTATAATTTTTTCAAAATCTAAGCTTACGTTTCTGAAAATCTAACGTTCTCCGCGGAAAGGATTCCATTGTAAAATGGCAGGAGCAAGAAATGAAGATTTACAAATTTCAGACATCGAAGATTTTGGTTTGGAGTAGAATTATTGGAAGAAATAATTTAATATTACCTGAACTTCCTCTCCTAACTATGCTGGGCTCCTCCGCAGCAGCAGAGGCTATTACGTTGTTCAAACTCTCATACTCATGATCATACGATGGATTCTCGTTCTGGTCATGTAAATTTGAAAGAGGCACACCATCCTTTGCCAAACCACCTTCTTGAATTGCTGGCTTTTTGGATCGTCGTTTTCTGTTTTAGAAATTAAAGTACTTTCATTACATTGTTTTATCGGTTGTTATGCAAATAAGAGTTTTAATCTGATGAAACTTAGGCTTGTTGATTGTCAAAAGCAGGAGCGTAAAATGTTTGATTTTCTGAACACAAAAAGTTATGCAGCGATGTGAAGGAAGATTAATTTAACACAAAAAGGTATGTTAAGGAAGATTAATTTTACATCGATTAATGAAATCCACTTGTCTTCAATATACCATTAAAATATACCAAAAACGAATAAAAATCGATGTTTATATTTAATCAATGAAAATAAAACAAATATATCTTTTATATATAATAAAGCATTTGTGAGTATTAATGTTTTCCGTTAGGTTTTGTTCCGCCGGTAGGCAGTACCAAATTTTAAGTGCCAATAATTTAAGAATGTGTGTGTCGAAGGAAACCTGATTTGTCATGTGATGAGTATGTCTATAAGGGTTTCATGATGAATAGTTGGAGGTTGTATTTTGAAAGATGGATTCGGATCATTAAAGATTGGAATATTTTCAAAGAAAGCAAACTTATTCTGGCAACATGCATTGTACGTCGTTGTGACATCAGGAAGAGATCGTTCTACAAACTGACATTACCACATTTAAGAAATATAAGGGCACGCTCTTGTATCTTGTCCATCTTGTATCTTGTAAACAAATTTCTTCAATTCAATAATTTGCCTTCGTGTCAGCAAATTGTTCTAGGCAGGCTGATACATTGCTCCAGGAATTTTTTTTATGTATAAGAAAGTAAATTTTGTCAGAAATAGGGGAATCCGTAGGAAAAGCTAAACTCGAAGGTTGATTATGCTTCAAAAGTAAAAAAAAATTTGTTGGCTCTTTTTGCTCATAACATTGACGATACTTGATAGGTCATATTTTGAGTTATAATAAATAACGAAGCATACCTTATGTAACAAACTGTAACAGCTAAGGCAAGCACAATGATTGCTGGAACTATTATCCCGACAATAATTTCAATCGATCTGGTTTCGCCTGGTTCTGATTTCAATGGTTCTTCTACAAAGAAACTCCACTCATAATTGGAAAACGACATTCCACACTTTAATAAACAAACAGGCATAATGTTAATACAACAATATTTTCAGCCTTTGTCATCGGAGATGGCAACTAAGGCAAAATTATCATAGCACGTGAAGAGAAGGCACGAACATCAAACTGGGTTAAAAGCTGTGCTTACAATGTGAAGCTCCCACGAGTAAAATGGCTAAAAATGTACGGTTCTACAGTAAGAAACTTAAAAGATGTTACTAGCATAAAATGATACGATAACTTACTTGTTTTGAATGGTCCAGCCCACGGCGAAGAGAAATAAATACCCTGCAAAATGAAACAATTTTCTGAACTTAAGTAACTAACTGCAGATGGAAAGGTATAAATTCCAGCAAATGAATTATCTGTTAGTAGATGTAAAGACGAATTGCATTATGACTTTAAAGTAAAGTATCTCTTATCTTGATCTAACGAAGAAGGTTGTTTTCTGGTTTGTCTCGTGCTCGTTGCTGTATGATAAAGTTTTACACACTTTTGTCTTGCTTTTATATAGACCAGGACCAAGACGATCTCAAGTTGCACTTTCTAGTTTTTATTGTCCAGCAACTTTTGCTATTTCATAAAATTATCTAACTATCATCAAAATTATTACAATTACAATGAAAGAAATAGGCTCTCTGAAGCAGATTACCGCTGAAAGATAAGCTCTCTGGAAGACAACATATTCTGTGTTTGGCTTCAATGGTGCATTGATATACTTTACTTGATCGGCATTCCTCCTCCTTCGACCAGATGACTCATATTCTTTCCCATTGCCAATCTCAAATTTCACAACGTAATTGTACAAGACACCTGCTATGTAAGGTGTGCTGCTAATATGCGTAGAAGAGTCATATGGTCCAAGTTCACTTGGCTTCCAGTCAAGGGGATCTTTGACTTTGGATGAGTTTCCTGTTTCCAGTACAATAATGTGGTACTCTCTTGGATAAAAATGACACTGATGATATCGAATTCAAAACGTCGATGATACGTCATGTAGAATTGTAATATGATTAGGTTTTTGCAAAATATTTTATCTTAAGCGTTGAATTTCTGACCTTTCCTGTAAACACATGATTTTGATATAAATCATCTTAAGATGGAAGTTTCATGAAAAGTCCAAATTGCAAAAAAATGATGTACCATAGTGTTATCAGGGAGCAAAATATGTTTTTCGTCTATTCAATTTAATAAAGATAAAATGAGCCAGATATATGCTTGAAAGCGCAAACAGAATACTTTTTTATTAAATAAGATAAGAGTTTCGTGAAAACATGTTAAAAATAGACTTAGTTTCTTACTTGGTATTTTCTGGTCCCCTTTTCAAGGGAATAACGAACGAAAAGTCTTTCGCTTCGCATGTGAATATATTTAGGTCCAATTTTTCTAAATGTTTTCTCTCTGTTAAAGTTAAATTGATAAAACTTTCAAAAAGGTGAATAATTCAAGAAAACAAATTAAACACGGTAGTCATTAAAATGGTAAAGAGTGCCAAAAAATATATTGCAGACTTTTTGTGAATTGTAAAAGGCTAATAGGAAAAGGTATAAGGAATATGAAAGGAAGTTATTTTATTGATCCAATCAACAAATGTCTTTAAAACATACTCTTTAGTATAGTGAACAGAACGGTTCTAAGTTACAACCCCGAATTTTAAGCTCAATGTGATCATCTGACAGCTTTTGAAAAAAATTGTTAATTTTGATCCAGACTTAAAAGAATCTACAGATCGTTTTGATGTTCAATGATACAATGTGGTTAACTTACCTATAATCGTACTTGAAAATTGACTGTAATGCGCTATGCCCTGCAGAAAAAAATACACAAAGATAGTTTCAATAAATTTGAAACGTCCCTCAAGAGCTTTATCATAGCCTACCCCCATGGTTCGAGTATGCCAGTGTGTGAGTGTTCAACACTCGGCTCTATGGTGTTCTTATCTGTATAGGCTACACGGGTTGATTTTCTATAGACTGACGGATGCTCAGATAAGTACAAGGCTATTCTCAAAGCAATGTTTCACTGCGTGGAAGGATGTTTCCTGAGAAAAGCCGTTGCTTGCTTGTTTGCTCAAGGTGTCCAGGCCCAAATTATCGACAAAGAGCCACCCTTTTTTGCTGACAGGTTTGAAAACTTGCCGACAAATCAGCTCTACATGGCAAAATCTCCTATATTATATATATATTGAATTTAATCTATCCCAAATATCTATTTCCATTTATTGGGTTCTCTTCGTGATGTTGTTTGTTTCTGATTAATATACTTAAAATGACCTCCTTGATTTTGAAGCACAATGAATTTCAAATGGTTTGTTACACCTTTCACATTTTCTATCTGATCTCCTTTAAGCAAACCCTCGATCATTACTTTCTCCCCATTCAAGAAAACGTTCAACAGAATAAATATTGAAATGCAAGTTATAAGCATAACATTAAACTATTTTTGCATTGCTAAACTAAACCAGAGAGGCTGCTTTGGTTATTACGTAGCTAAAAACCGTCATACATTAATTGAAATTCCTTCATACATTAATTGAAAGACCCTTCGATGGGAAGAATCTATTGCAATTCAAATAAGACAAACACATGATCCAAGTCTTTACTTCTTTGCTATAGCGGTTCTAAATGAACATACAGTAACAGGAATCTGATTAATATCGTATTCACCTTGTTGGTTGTTGCAGCACGATAGCAGAGGGTGTAATTTGCCAATGTTTTAAGCTCCGTCGAAATATGTGCAACTGATTTCATTCCAGGTATAAACTCAAGCTTTAATGGCAGTTTAGAAGGAACAATTGTCTCTGCAGAACTGGTACGTTGACAAGACATTGTATTTCCTTCCAAAAAATACAATCGGTATTCGCTGTTCATAGAAAGAAAAACAATACCAAGAAACTAACAATGTACCAAGACATTCAACGTTATTCCAAATTAAAGCTTTATTTTGACAAAATCTGTTTCTTGCTCAAAATTTGACCAATTAGATATTTGATATAAAAATTTTATGTAAAACGGTAAAACGGCCATGAAGAGAGTAAAGAATTTTCGTATTGTAATCTAGAAAGATACCTTATTGGTCCATTGATATCGCTTGCAGTACTAATTCTCACTGTGAGCTTTCTTCCGATTATACCCTGATTTTCCATTGTTGGCTTTGGTGGGGCTAAAGAAAAAAAAGGCTGATTTGATGCAATCTAAAGTGCATTGAAAATTTACGATAACATTTAATTGCTTTAACTTTAAATTTGATGTGATTTAAGAAAACAAGAAAGACAAAAAATCAAGAGACCACTTTTGTGAAACTGCTTAACGACAAAAAAAACTATTAAATGGGGAAAATTTATGATCAAAAATCCAGTTGACAAAATAGAAAGTATTGTGAAATAAAGGACATAACCAAAATATAACATTTAAATACAGAGTAAGCGGAGACACGGAAAAACAAACGGAAACATAAATATAAACGTTAATATAATCATAACCAGAGACATTTTTTCGTTATTCAAAGTTGGTACAATCTCTAGCTATACTCAAGCTAATTAAAAGCAACCAATTTATGCTACCAACGCTGAATATGATATAAATATAAAATATCCGATGTTGCATAAGTACTCCTTGCAAAAATTAGAGGTAAAATTGAACGATGAAAATTCTGAGACTTTTTTCTTGAATATTTGTAAAGGTGAGGACTGAGTTTCAAATTTGGCTAAATCTGTATGACACGGTATTAAATCCATATATTTTGTAATGTGATTAAATGTAACAATTATAAACTTGTAAATTCTAAATAGAAAAAAAATTTTACAACAAAAAAGATATAAAAACACAAAAATCGATGTTAAACTATTAAGCATGAAGCATTTAAAAATATCGATGTATTCTTGAAACAAATATGCGTGAATTATTATTGACAAAACATTTTTAACCGTGAAAAGAATAGAAATATATATACAGGCAATGATAAAGACAGAAATAGCTAAGCAACAATAAGGACAGAAATAAATAGGCAATAATGAGAAATGCAGTTAAACTCCCTTGGACAGTATTCAGTTAATGCCCAAAAGCAAAAAACCGTTGTTCCATACACTTCAGTTTTATAGGTACGTCATTCAAATTTATCATAAGACCCAACCCTAGTTAAAACAAATCCATCTTTAAACAAGGATCGTTCGTGCAAGATAGTAAGCTAATATGACTCTGGTAGCTTTAGTTTTTTTTGCATTGGATCCTGCAACATTCTTTATTGCTAATTAAAAAAATAAATACCTGCATAGTCTGTTACAAAGGTAACCCTTTCACTAAAGAGACCCCTTCCACCTCCGGTTACTGCAGCAACATCGATTGTGTAGTTTGTAGCCGGGACGAGGTTGCTCAGCGTTTTAGAAGTAAATTCTGAATGGACTCTCCGCTCAACTGTTATAAAACCGTTGTGTTCAAAGGTGCTGTTGTAAGATTTTCTGCCAAAATACCTCACCTGAAAATGTATGTGAATCAAGGGAGCTCAAAAAATTTGATTACAGAATAAAACTTTTCAAAGGATATTTGCTATGTCCACTACTAAAGCCGTTATACATGAAGCAAGTATTTCTTCAAAAAATGGTATCGCCTACAATCATAAAAGCAATCCAGATAAAAAAGGAAACTTTCTATTGATATGCATATCCTGCCAATTGGCTGTATAGACTACTTTAGCTGCAAATAAAAGAAAAATCTTCCAACAAAGATTCAACATATCAGGCGCAATTTTCAATTGGTTTATCTCGTATCTAAAAAACAGAGAACAAAGAATTATGATCAAGGACACACTATTTGAAATTTATACGCTAAATTTTTTTTTTTATGATCAGATAAAATGTTACAATACAAACTACATTCTACTTTACTTGCTAATTACTCTACGATACTACAGGTACGATACCATGGAGAGCAATGGACAATGCCAACCCAATGGCCATTACATGCAACTAGACAAACAAATACGAACGCTACACATACACATAATCAATGTTACAAAAAAAGAAAATAAGTATATATATTTAGAAGATTACAGGTACAAGATAATACGTTTTGAAAAACTGAAAATAGCAAATAAGTGGGTGAGGCACAAGATTTAGGGATATTTGATGAATCTGATTTTATAATCATTCAAAGCGTTCCGTTCTTGAAATATATAGGATAGTAGATTCCAGAATGAATTTATTTGCTTTCAATGACAATTTTTTGTCACCGGAAAAAAGAATCTGTAAGAGGATAGGATTAGGAACATTGGTAAATTCAAAAGAATGTAGTACTGGAATGACACAAGCGAGGAGGTCACGTCTTTGTTCTTCAAAAGAATGGCATGACAATATGAAGTGCTCCGTATCCTCAAGACCATCGTTGATCGGACACATCTGGTTGATTGTGTCATTAAAATTATGACTGAATTTGTGGAAATTTATTTTTCTCAACCCTACCCTAAGTTGAGTTAGTAAAGAAAGCCATTGTGGGTCATAGATACCGAAAACAGAGTTAGAAAGTGGTATAATGATCGACAGCAATCTATTCTTGAATATATCAATGGAAGGCGATTCTCTGATTTTAGGGTCAAGCTGATTCCATTCATGTAAGCTGATTGGGAAAAAGCTTGACTTATATTTCAGTTCTTGCTCTAATTTGTCCAACAACGGGTTGATTACGAAAAGCATAATTTGATTGAATCAGCTTGGGAATATGATCTTTTAGATAATTTGGCATCAGATTGTTAATGATCTTGTAGATCATAAAAAGTCGTCTACTATAAACTCTTGATACAGCTTTTCACGAGAGGTACCTTTCCATGTTCCTGTTAATGCTAATGTTGCAGAATATTGAACCGATTCGAGTTTTTGCATCAGGATATTTCCGCGGCTATTTGAACTGATTTCCTTGCATGGAAGGTGGTAAATCACATCACCATAATCTAAATGAGGTCTGACATAAAGTTTATAAAGCATTTTCAAGGTTTCTTGAGGAAGATATTTTGAAAGAAACTTCATCATTCCTATTGCCTTTCTTGATTTTGCAATAGCTGCATTTTTGTGACTTATAAAAAAAAGCCTTGAGTCGAGGGTAAGCCCAAGATGCTTATGCTTGTCCACTTTCATTACTTGGATTATTGAAAAATATCCAGGGGTGATCAATTTTGTCTCTCTTTGTTGAGAAAATTATCTCCACTGCTTGCTTTCTAGGATCAGGGTTGAATGACATCCTCCATTCATCCTCCGCTATCCATTCATCCGACATCCTCCGCTAAAACATGGAGTACCCCAAGGAAGTTGTGCGGGTCCTGTGGTATTTTTGGGATATTTGAGCTCTCTGTATGACATAATTGAGCTCCATTCTCCTAATGTGGCAGCTTATGCTGATCATACACAGCTTTTTCTTGGTTTCAATCCATCTTGTGCTGAAGAACGAATCCAGGCAGTAAAGGATATTGAAAACTGCATATCAGATATTCGTGCATTGATGCTAACTCATCGCTTTAAAATAAATGATGACAAAACTGAATTGTTAGTTATTGAAACAAATCAACAGCTAACAAAGTTACCAAATCTGTCAATAAAAGTCGGATCTGCTGAGATTTAAAAGTCTGGCTCTGCAAGAAATCTTGGCGTTTTATTTGATAACAAAATGACCTTGGAGAAGCAAGTAAATAATATCAGTAAGAAGGCCTTTTCTCAGTTGAGGCGTTTAAGGCAGATTAGACAATAAAAGAAGCCACACAATCATTGGTCCATTCATTTGTTACATCAACGCTTGATTATTGTAACGCACCGCTATATGGATGTTCAAAACACCTGCTAGATAAATTGCAAAAGATTCAAAATTGTGCAGCACGAGTTGTGATGGGATGTAGTAAAAATGACTATATAAAAACACTTCTCAAAGCTCTGCACTGGTTGCCGATGGCACAAAGAATAGATTTTAAAATTGCATTGTTGACGTATAAATGTCTAAATGGATGTGCACCGAAGTATCTTGTTGATCTTTTGGAAATTCAGGAAAGTTGCAGAGTACTGACATCAAATAAGAAAAAAAGGTGAAGTTGCCAATGACCAGAACTAAAACACTTGGCACCAGAGCTTTTACATATGCTGCTCCTGCAGTATGGAACTCTTTACCAGACAACATAAAGAACACAAAATGCATGGAAACTTTCAAGAGGCTCCTGAAAATATACTACTTTGAAATAGCGTGTAATTAGTGTCTAAAAAGGGTTGAGTATAAACAAGGACATAAACATCCTTCTTCCAATACGTCATAAAAAAATTTTAAATGAAAACATGCATTTTATCTTATGTTTTATTTTTCTTAATCTAGATTTTATATTGTTAATAGGATTGCAAAACGCAACCGAGTTTATTGTATTGTGGCGCTGTATAAATTTTGCATTATTATCATTTTTATTATTATTATAAATGTACTTACAGTATAATTTCTAACGATTCCATCTTCGTGTAAAGGCAAAGTGATGTTGACAAGAACGGAAAAAGATGTTTTACTGGAAAGCTTCACATTCTGGGGTTGGCTTGGTTCTGTTGACAATGGAAGATCAGTAATAAGTAAGTTTTAATAGTAACCTTACTGAAAATAGGACCGAGTCTTGTCAATAGGATGGGCTTCATTGACGGGACAAGATTGTTTTTTTATTGGACTTGACGGGAGTAAATTCAACGAAGCAACCAAAGAGACTAATGAACAACGTGCAAATCAATTTACGTGTATCAAGCAAAGGCAAAAAATGAGTGAACTAAGCAGGTGTGTTGTACAGCAACTCCCTCGTCCCTAGTGAAAAGGTCAGTAAGGAACATCAACATACATGTTCTCTTTTAAGAAGGAAGAAAATAACATCATGAGAAGGAAAAAAAGTACGGTGGAAACATACAAAGTGCTTTTTTATCGATGCCACTTTTGGCAATTACGTTAATACTTTTACAGGATATGTACTTTGAAACAAATCAAGTCACATGTTGTATTGGCATTTTGTGAAATCAAAGAACTTCGGGGTTTACAATGAAATATTATCTTGAAAGGTAATGATCATAAATCGATACTCAAATAAAACGCTCAAAACCCTTAATAACAACTAAGTTTTTACATCATTACAAAGCGATTTTATACATGACTGGTATAGCTTCTATTCTTGATACAAATGCAAAATTGTATTACGTACTTGCGGAAACATAAAAATTGCTTTTCTATCGATGCCACTTTCAGCAATAACACTGTATGAACAATATGAACTTTGAAATTCTGTGACAAAATCAAGTCACATTTTGTATTGCATAATGGGGAAATCAACCAACCTCGGAATTTACGATGAAATATTGCCATGAAAGATTATGATAAAAAATCGATACATATATAAAACACTTAAAACCTTAAAGCCTGATTTACACAAGACGAATTTTTTCGTGCGAAACGAATTTTTCGCCGCGAATGCACGAAAAATATGCGCAGAGGTAGGAATAGAAAATTCGCAGCAAAAAAGTAGAAACCATTCCTACTTTTTCGCCGCGAAATTTTTTGACTTGTAAAATGTACCTCTGTTTTGGTTTCAGATGGCCTACGTCTTTCCGCATTCTTTTTCTCAAACACATTCTGGCTTCACATTCTTTTTCTTAAACACTCTCGCCTTTAAAATGTCAATAAAATAGGTTGGTAATTATTCATTTCCTGTCCCTCGTACATAATTCATGTAAGTGGATTCATATCAGATTATTATTCAAACATTTGAATTTAAAATTGACGAAAACTGGCTTGAAAGTTTCATCGCTCTACCAATATGTCAGAAATAAAAAATAATGGGAAAGAATTTCTTCAAATTGCTGAATTGTTGGCTGCTTATTAGCCTGCTCAACAGCAACAGTTTTAAGCAGATGCAGTAACAGGATCTCGCATGCTCTTGCAAGCTTCGATAGCGACCTTTGAAAGTATTTGAAGAAGTTATACTGGTCTTATAAATTTAAACGTAAACCTCTCTTACCGAAAGATGGAATTCCCTCTTCTGAAGACGTCCTGAATAAATTTTTCTAATCCAGTATCGCTGTTTGCTGTTTTGCTCGCTTTTTTATAAATTTGAAATTTTAAACTTGCTGATAAGAGCACTCTTCGAACAGTCAATATATTCTTTTGTAATATTCGCAGCGAATTTGCATAAAAATTTCTGCCAGTGTAAATTGAACCTCGAATTCGAAGGAGAAAAATTCGCAGCTAAAAAATTCGTGGCGAAAAATTCGCTTCGCGCGAAGAATTCGTCTCGTGTAAATAAGGCTTAATAACAACTAATTTTTGACATTATTATAAAGCGATTTTATACATGACTGGTATAACTTCTATTCTTGATACAAATGCAAAATTGTATTACGTACTTCCTTCGTGTGTTCTTACTGTCACCACAGAGCTCCATTGGCCAAAGTTAGTCCCACCATTTATTGTCGCTGCCACCTACAATGATGAAGATTCCATTCTAAAAAGAATGTCTCAATAACGCCTTGAAATATAAATATACTGACACAAAACGATTGCGGTTCAAATATATATGTGCTGATATGCTGCAATTAATGTCACCTGAAACTGGTAATCTTTGAATGGCTGCAGAAATGAAATTGTAAGCGTTGTTTTAGTTCCTGCAGAGATGGAGCGGAAGTAACTACTTGCAGAGACCATCTTGTATCTAACTTTATAGTCATACAGGATTCCTCGAAGAGACACAGGTTCAGACCACGAGACTTGAACTGTCGTTGATGAAAACGCAACTGCATAAACATTCCATGGAGCATCGGGTGCTATAACAAAGGAGTTGATTAGAATTTTTAATGAATGCACACTTCCAGGGTACTTTACTGTGACAATTATGTTTTCCGAGTGGTTGAAATTCTCCAGAAGATCTTTTTAAGCAAAAAATTGACAAAGATCTTCAGAAGATCTTTTTGACTGGTCCAGTTTCTCTAAAGCGTAAAAATACAGTAAAATTCACAAAAATCAGATTCCCGTAATCCAGAAGTTTCGTAACTCGGATAAAATGGTAATGTGCTAGTCCAATTGGATTAAATTCCATAAATTCGAATTGCAAACATGAATTCGTTAGTCGAATATCTGCGTACGTTGGACTTCTCTTAAATTCCCCTTCACGCAGAACCATGCAAAAATAGATGCAAAATCAACATCGCAATGGCATTCTTGAAAAACAAACCACTGAATTTCTTTGACTGTAAATGCATTAAGTTTATTTCCAGCATATGTTAAACTTTGGTTTTTGCTTTGTTTTATTTCACTTCAGATTTATTACATGTAAGTCGGACTATTTAACTTGGACCAAATCGATCCAATAAATGCTAGTTTGACTGCATTTCCCCGTGGTTTTTTTGGATGATAAATATGAACTTCCAACTCGTCTGGGACGGTTTCTGACTATAGCAACTCTAGCTAGAGCTATAGTCAGATTCTCCGTGATTGACCAACGAGATCCAACATAAGACCCAGTTTACACTACATCAAAAGTTCCCTTCTTCTTTCTGTGGTGTAAACGGGGTCTTATGCGAGTTTGACTCCAAACTCACAACAGATACTCATAAGGTAAAAAAATCAAATATACATTGACATTCTATTTCGTAAAACGGGGGTTTAAAATGATTTGTTATTAATCTACGTTTCCTTCCGGCAAAATCTCCACATACAACAATGCTAGGACATTGAGAAAATCGTAAATACGACAAATTTGAAACAGGTTTGAGCTTGCGTTACTAAAGTAAACTCGCTACCTCCGAATGTTTTAAAATCAAAGGTTCCCGTATCTGAATTTATATTGTAAGGCGATGATTTCGCAGAAACCTCGATGGTGTAGTCGGTGTATGCACTTAGGCCAGTAAACGAGGCTACTGTTGTCTTCAAGTTATTCTTTGTTTCGTGTGTTAAGCCATCAGACTTTTTCTTAAGAACTACATTATAGCTTTCAGTAGGAAAATCCGAGACTGAAGCATTCCATGTTACTGATGCAGTTGTATTGGTAAGTGACCTTGTAACCATGCCGCTTGGTGTCGAGGGTTTAGCTGCAAAATCAAAAAGCTTTTCATGTAATGAAATAAAACTATTAATAACAAAATAACCTATCAATGCTACCTATGTAAATCACTGGGCACTAGTTAAGGTAAGGTCCATAAAATGTCTATACTTGAGCTCTTTCTACTCCATGTTCCATGTTGCCATTTTAGCTTTGTCACCTGTCCACTTACCTAAATATTAGACATTTGAAAAATGACAACTTCAAAGAGGAATTTGAACGACTGTTCTGACATTTAGGCCCTACCTACCCAAGAGTCCGGTTACAGTAACTTCAACTGTGCCACTCTTCGAAGTGCTTGATATACCAGGATACATTGCTGAACATCCAAATGTGTGTTTACATTGAACAAACCCCTGCGCAAAATCGGTGACAGTGCAAGTTGAAAATGAGTTAATAACAGAGTTTGGTGTGGCAGTTATCTTCAAAGTTTTGGTCGTTTCTCCATTTATATTTTCATTTGTTACGGCATCGTTTCCAACTTGATAAATGCCAGTGGATGTCAAAATGTTGCTTCCGTTTTTCCAAGCTGCTTCAATGCCAGGCTGCGCTGCTACCGTGCATGTCAATGTTACTTCGCCATCTCTTGCAAGCGACGGGCTTGACGGTACAATGGAGATCGAAGACACTTGGCCAACTAAAACAGAACAACATTCCTTGAAGCATGCAACATTTACATAAATTAAATCTGATATTATTTGATGAACAAAGTTTAAATGTCACTGCACGCTCATACCTGGGTGGCATACCCAGCTATTCCAATCTTTATGGAAAAAAGTGTTTCCAATGTCTTCAAGAACGTGGTTCTAAGAAGCTTTCCTGGGCGAGTCCAGAATAAGCCTGCATCAAAAATATACAAACAAGAAAGTTCTTCTGATATGAGAAATTTTAAATAGATGTAAGCAGCTTTCAATTTCTTCTACCTGGGTCAATTGAGATACATTTCCAAGAAATATCAAATTCTCCCACCCTCAGGTTCCACACCTTTTAAAATGCTACTATTAAAATCTTGACATAGCTCTTTATATGTAGCGAAAACTCATCAAGTGCAAATCTTTTGAACTCGTTATTCGTAACAGTTTTAAATATAGGCTAAGATATTTTCTTCAGTTTATATACCTGAGGCACAGCCAAGCATTTCCCAACGCAGTCCAACATTCTGATTAGTGGGAGACTGAGTTTCGACTTGCAAGCGAATACAACGGGCTATTATTGTATGTGGTAGATCTATCTGTGATGACGAGTAACGACCATCGGCACCTGCGAATTTCTAAGAACAAAAGGAAAAATCACAGCAAAAGCCGGAAGCTTAACTTCTCTTATGTCACGTGAAATCACGAAGTCAAAACATTGGATGAACAAAGATTTCAACATCATTATTGGCTTATAGATAGAGGGAATTTGCCACATCACATAAGTCAATTATTAGAACGTTTTTTAACATAGTTTGTTCAAGGCTAAAATGAAAAAAAATGAATTAGGATTTTAGAATTGAACACTTCTGTAACAAAAACGTCAAGCAAACTCACTTGTAACAAATTGCTATGCTTGTACTCGAAGAATGTACCAGACGCAATGGTAGAATAAGAATACTTTAACGAGAATTCCGTCACTTTTGCCAAGTTATCAACATTGCCCTGACCCTGAATCACAATCGAACTGATTGACTGTACACTTGGTAAACATGCTTGAATCCATGGTTTGGCTCCAGTTGATTCTTTCGGGGAACATGAACCGAACTGACAAGCTTCCCAAACAGATTCTACGTTAAACCTCCCTTTGTGGGCTCCATTTCCATTAGCAGATGTTGACGATGTCATCGAGGTATCGGAAATTGAGCTTGAAGATTGAATTCCAACAGTATCCCGGCATTCTGTGAAGAAAAAAAGAAATGAGGCAAAGTGTTGATCCGAGATAAATGAATTGGCTCAACAATAAAACGACTTTCGATATAATAAACAATACTTGTTGAAACAAACTTAGACCATACAGTATGCACTTTCTACCGATCTTTCGAACTTAGGCCCAAACTCTTGAACGTAGGCCCGAGCTCCAGCGACTGCTGACTTCTACAGTAAAAAAACCACACGCATATTTCACTGACTGGCAAATTTTATACTCACAAATTTCCAAGATTGGTAGTTAAGTATTGGTGAGCAAAATATGAAACTTTGACTCGTTTAATTTTGTCTTGCAAAGTTTGATCAAAAATGGTTGTTCTCGAGCACAATCATGTTTTATGCTGCCGGGTGGATGTGGAAAGAGCCTCCTCTTTTGTGTATATATTCTCATGTACTCTATTTGTATTTATATTTGTATATCATGAAGTCGGACGTACCACACTTTTGTTTGAAATTCTAACAATGCAATGAAAATACTGATAATATCAAAAGAAAAAACGTGGTCAGGCACTTAAAAAGATTTCCGCCCTTTGCATTCCTTGCTCAACAAAATACTGAGATTCTTGAATAGCTTGAGTTCACATACAGCGTTCTTAATTAGCAAAGTACTTCTGCCGGGTAATACGTCACAAAAATATGATTCGAGCGTTTCTTAATTTAGACCATATTTATGAAACGGCCCCATATTAATTACAAAAAGTTGCGTTGACATGAAAAGCAAATAAATGCATCACAAATCTGTTTAATTATGATTTAGTCAAAAATCTTTTTCCAAAATTTTTGAATTTTGAAAAAGTAGCCTAAAGGCAAAACAAGAAACAGCTCTAACAGTGTAAAACTAGTTGATATGTTGCAAATTAGATGTGGCGAGTAAAAGAACTGTATAATTAAGGATTACTGCTTTCTTGGGGCCCGTTCACACTGGTCCGTTTTTAAATGAAAATTAGTCTGTTTTTTTCTTGTGCTCCATTTTGAAAATGGAGTCGTTTTTAAACGAAAATGAATACGGAAACTTTTGAATACAGAGCACGTATTGAATACACTCGGAGACATTTGAATACGTTTACAACGGAAACAACATATGTGCTTTCTGGCACACCAAATGTCAAACATTTCAAAATAGGAAATTCAAAATGGACGAATGGCTGTAGAGAAATATTTTTCACGATTTAATTTCATCTATTCAGGCATTACTTCGATGTGTATTCGTGGAAGCATCTGCTCGAAAATGAGGCTACCAAGAGCGTTTATGTTGGAGCTGTGTGAACACTAACGGTTTTCAAAGTGTATTCATTTGAAAAGGTATCAGTGTGAACGGACAGCGTTTTAATCAACAAAAACGAAGCGAAACGGATACGGAGCAATGTGAACGTAGCCTCGGTCTGGTTTATATAATTTAGAACAAACAAGAAGGGATCACAGTGATTTGATTGGCAGTAGCCTGTGCTTATGTATGTCAATTAAACTGGTTTTGCACAATTAGAGGTATTTCATAATGCCTTTTTGAGCTATATGGACAAAATGAGCAATTCTGAAAAAAGGTAATGATACAGTAATAGTAATATTTTTGCGGCGTTATCACTCCGGAACATTATTTTCATTTGCAAGTGTTGTCTTTTTTTTTAAAATATCCGATTTCAATCGCCTCATGCATTTTTCAAACATTGACAAGACAGACGTTCAGAGCAGACACGATGATTTAAAGAATTACCGCATCCCATCTTAGCGTAGGGCAATGAGAATTTTCAGGAAGGCAAGCACCCTAACCCTACACTTAATCTATGTCTTAATTAGATTTTGGGGAATAAGTCTTTACAAAAATATAGGATCACCAAAATTTGTTTTCTATAATACATATATTCGTATAAGTATTCAATTATGATTTTCCTTGTTCCATGGTTCAGACTCAAACAATTTAAAAAAATAATTGTGCGACGTCATCACTATGAAACTCTTATACGTGTGAAACTTTGTGACGTCATCAATGAGGCAACCCTTTCATCACAGCTTTGGTCAATAGTTGAATCAAATAATCTTAAGTCCAGCGCACACGGCAGACGTTTGTCTTTGAAAAACGAAGATTTTGGTCTTTTGCAATCCAAAGACAGAAATCTGTCGTGTGTTCTCAGTGGCGGATCTAGACAAAAATTTGAGTGGGTTCCAATATGGGCGTGGTCCCATATTTTTCTGGCAACGCCCTTTACTTTTTCCAAAATTGGCTGACGCCCATTTTCGCTTTTTGATAAGATTCACAATAGCAAGATTTGATTTTAACAAGATATATTATTTAATCATGATTCCAAGGCAAGTAAAAAAATAAATCTGTAAACCAAACCAGGAATTGTCATAATGAATTCTAAAAGAATAGTTTCGATTTCTTGCCAAACAGAGGACCTTAATAAATTCCTCTAGCTGGTTACAGCAAGACATAAGCTTACTGAGTGTTGCAAGATTTGAGTGAAATTCCTGCTATAAATATTGCCAAATAATAAACAAGACAAATTTTCATATATTCACCAAGTTTGTCAAAAACGGATAACGATGGACGAAGCCTGTTATCATATATAGCAAACAAACCCAATTATTAAAAAAATTCAAATTATGAAATATGAAATCATCTTATCCCATTCTCTAAAGTCTTTCATTTTATCTTAATAAAGTTATCTCACTCTATAGATAAATATATCCTGTATAGGGCTTCAAGAGTTCTATAAGCTTTTTACGTCAAAGAGAAAAGATCTTCGACATTCCTGAGTTCCTGCCAAGAATTCTCTGCTGCTAATTGCAACGCATTCTTTCGTGAACGCCACTTTACAACTATCTGAAATGGACATTTCGCTAGATCCATGAGAAAAAAGCGGTGATCTGTTTTCTCCAGGTTGGCTAGGCCAGTCGAAAAAAATGAGCAAATAGTTGGCGAGGCGTGTTTGAAAAGCTTTCATGAAAAATCATAGCACTCTTCCATACGATGATCAAATTTTATTGATCTTCAGGTGCTGGTCCCTTCCTGTTTGAGGGCTTAAAACAAGCTCTCGTCATCGTGCAGTCACTCGCAGATTTACGTCGCCATTATGACAACAGGAAGCATGTATGGTCAGCGGTTTAAATAAGTTCCAATGAGTTCGTGAGATGGGTTCCAAAAGGGTTCTTTTGTTTGTAGCAAAATCAATATAAGACAATTGATTGCCATGGCTACGACAGGGTTCCTTTCTTAAAAAAAACAATATGGTACAAAGAGTTGCCTTGGCTACGACAGGGTTCCTTTCTTTAGAGGAATATAATATGTTACAAAAGATAACCATGGCTACGACAGGGTTCCTTTCTTTCACAGTACCATATTTAGAGAGCAGCAAAGGTTTTGGTACAAGGGGCCATTTGACGTTGGGACTGGTTGCGATTAATTCGAAAGTAAAGGGAAAACTGATGTTATGTGTCTTTGGAAAATTTGACAGGGTTCCAGAACCCTTGGAACCCGGTCTGAATCCGCCACTGCTGTGTTCTTGTCAAAGACAAAGATCTTAGCCTTTCAAAAGCATTCTTCGAAATCGAACAGTCATCTGAGCCTTTTGGAGCTTCGTTTTCGGTCAGAGCGGTCATTTTTCTCTAGCTCTGATCTAGCAGTGGGAACATATGGCATAATTGTTGATGGATAGTGGTGACATGATATGAGCTTGGACGAAAGGTATCAGGTTTAACTTTGGAAGCTTCTTTGGGTATCTTGTGGTGTTTATCGCTATAAATAAACGATTTAAAAGTCACTTGACCGCTTTACTGTTAGACCACGCCACGCCTACATCGAGATGAAGTCGGCTGGTGCTCGTGCAGGCGCACGTCAAAATCAAAATTCTGAAGCTTATCAGGCGTATTTTGATGAAAAGTTTGCCGAATTAAAGAAAGAAATGGCAACGAAGAAATGCATTGATCATTTACATGCACCTATAAAGAAACAGAATGACAAAATCGAAATGTTAGAGTCAAAAATCGTGATGATGGAACGGCATATTGCTCAACTTCAAAATAATCTGGATGATAATGAGCAGTACAACCGATGATTGTGTCTCAGAATCAACGGCTTACCTCCAGTGGCTGAAGGAGAAAGTGAAACAAGTGAAATGTGCTTAGAGAAGGTGAAGAATGTATTCAAAGAATTAGAGGTCGATGTCCCTGATGCAGTGATAGACCGTGCACATAGGATTGGCTCACCAAGGAACGTCAAAGGAAAGAAAATACATCAGGTCATTGTGCGTTTTACAACATGGCGACATAGAACTTTGGTATATCGAGCAAGGAAAAAATGCCCCAAATACAGCATAAAGCTGGACTCAACCAAGCGTAGAATAGACATAATCCAGAAGGTAACGTCTTTCCTCAAGGAAAAGGAATTGGGTTTTGCATTTGCAGATGTAAATTGTCGATTGAGTGTCAAGATTGGAGACGTATTTGAGCATTTTAACAGTGAAGAGGACTTGATGGACATAGTTCGAAGATATGATGAGAAAAGTGAGTCTGAGAGCCATCCTAAACAGAGCAATGATGCCACTGCAGATAATGATTTTACGGGTGATGATGCTGCTGCAGAAACCACTGCAGTCTCAGAGTCGTAAGGACCTCTTACATTAACCCATATATCTGTCATCTTTTGTCGTTTTTCTGTATAAACCGTTATGCATCGAATAATCCTTATTTCCGTATGGTCGCAATCCGGTATTAAAAGCAATCTCATCTATTATATAAAATTTGTAGATATTCTGCTTTACTGTGGGCATTTTATCCATTTTGTTGTTCCCTTTTTTAATGAGGTGAGTTTGTAAAATCCGGACGACTGTACGGAAGTATTGCTCTTTTGTAATTAAGGTTTTCCGCTCGGTGGGTTTTAAGGGTGGGTGATGATTTGGATAAAACCCTTTTCGATGCTTGAGTTTCGCCCGCTCGGGAGATTCCCACGAGTTAAAATCAGACTTGGGGTGGCTCTGCTTTCCGCTCTGGTGCGCGGCGAGGCGCCGTTTCGCAGGACTCTCCTCGCAAGGCTTTTAATGGGAGGAGTGGTTTTTGCGGGGCGGCGTCTCGCTGTTCGCTGGGGCGGAGAGCGGAGTCACCTAAACTTGGGTTTCTTGAATTAGTTCGGGTCCGTCGCCCTGATCCACCGCTGCAGGTAACTGTTTTGCCGACCGTAAACTGCCGTATCCGTTGACTATGCGCTTCGGGGCGATGTTACCCAAGCTTGTTTTTGTTTTTACAAGTAACCGTCATCACAATTGATTCTACTTCTTTGCTCAAACTGCCTAAAACAGTCCCCTACTGCAGCTTCGATCGTGACTCGATTTGTCGAACTCCCAAGTGAAAAGTTCAAAATATTTTTTATTACTTTTTTTCTTTTGTGCATACAATATGTTTTTTTGTTTCTCCCTTTGTTTCAGCTGCTGTAAATTGACTAGATACCCCTATTGTTTGGCAAGCCCCTTTTCAAATTCAAGGGAATCTGAGAATGATCAAAGAGATACAGCGAGCGTTAAATGCCCATAGGAACCAGTGAGTGGCGTGCGGGAATTGCGCTTTGCAGGTGTAGGCACAATAATTGTTTCTCATATTATTTCTTGTGCAGAATTGATCCAGACAAGTCTTTGCTCATTTGTCTACTTGTACCTCTTTATGTGGATATCAGTGTTCACTCTGTTGCCATCCATCTTGACCGCATCGATCTTTTCTCTTCTTCCCCCTGACATGGTTAAACACGAATTTCATGATTTTATATTCGTTTACACGAAAACGACATCCTATGCAATGGTTACATTTTATTTTGTCTTTTATTTTTTGTTTGGCCTTGTGAAAAGTGATTTTTGTTCGGCATTGAAAACTATGTATTACCGCAAAAAACTTTTGGATGTCTTGCAAAATGTATTGTACGCCGTAATCATATGCAGGTTCCTGGAATCCATTTATCTTGGAGACCGCTTCCCATGGGACTTTCTTTTATTGCTTTCTGGTGATATAGAAACAAATCCTGGCCCTCAAATCTACAAGTGTCTGAAGTTTTTTCATTGGAACTTGAATAGTATTTGTGCTAGAGGTAACGTTAAAATTCCACTAATCGAGGCCTATGGTTCAATTTACAAAAATGATATAATTGCGATCTCAGAATCCATGTTAGACTCTACTATTGATAATAAAGAAATCTGTATTGAGGGCTATAGTAAAGAAATTTATCGTAATGATCACCCAAGCAATACCAAAACTGGGGGAGTGTGCTTGTATTTTCGAGAGAGTTTGCCAATCAAACGCAGAACTGATCTCGAATTACTGCAAGAAATGATCGTTGCTGAAATAACTTTAGCGCGAAAGAAAATATTCTTCATTACTATATACCGTAGTCCTAGCCAAAACAGTGATCAATTTGAGGAGTTTATCAATCAACTGCAGGTGACTCTCGATCAGCTTCGAAGAGAAAGATATCATTCTCTGGTCTTGACTGGAGATTTTAATTGTAGGTCATCTCAGTGGTGGGACAATGATGTTGAAAACCCCGAGGGAACTGCTTTGGATGAGCTGATGGAAATGAATAACCTTTACCAGTTGATCGATGAACTCACCAATATTCGAGGTGAAGGAAGGTCCTGTATTGACCTCATTATAACCGACCAACCCAACATGTTTGTGGAATCCGGGGTTCATCCTTCCTTAGATGAACACTGCCAGCATCAACTGATTTATGGTAAACTTAATTATTCTTTACCCTCTCCACCTACATACAAAAGAACGATCTGGGATTACTCAAAAGCCGACACCAGCAAAATCAGAGATTTACTTAACTGCGTTGACTGGAATTCGCGATTTAATGGCCTAGGGTCCGAAGAAATGTCGGAGGTTTTCACCAGTGCCCTGCTTTCTATTCTTTCGTCGTGTATACCTAACAAAGTCATAAAATGTAATGATAAAGATCCACCATGGATAACACCGGAGCTAAAATCTGCGATCAAGCTTAAACACAGATTGTACATTATTCCAGTGCACAAAAAAGAAAGCAGGCAAAACAAAAAAAACTATCGACCCATCTCACTGTTGCCAATTTTCGGAAAAGTCTTTGAAAAAATATTATTTGATGGAATATACGGACATCTTAACGAAAATGGACTTATAACTTCAAGACAGTCTGGCTTTCGACCAGGTGACTCGACAATTAATCAGTTACTATCTATAACTCACAAGATCTACAGTGCGTTTGAAGAAATTCCCAGCCATGAAACTAGAGCTGTCTTTCTTGACTTGTCGAAGGCATTGGATAGGGTCTGGCATGAGGGTCTACTATACAAATTGCAATGCAGTGGCATAGATGGAAACCTTCTCTCGTTGATTCGGAATTATTTGGCAAATCGAAAACAGCGTGTAGTGCTGAATGGCAAAAGCTCACAATGGACATCAATATCTGCAGGAGTGCCACAAGGCTCAGTATTAGGACCCTTGTTTTTTCTAGTGTACATAAATGACCTTGTTGATAATGTTCATTGCGATGTGAGAATGTTTGCGGATGACACATCTCTTTTTTCTGTTGTAAACGAAGTCAATAGAACTGCAGAGGACTTAAATAGGGACCTTGAGACGGTACGTTTGTGGGCATGGCAATGGAAAATGCAGTTCAATGCGGATAAAACTGAAGAAATTATTTTTTCTTGCAAGAGACGTAAGCCCTCCCATCCTCCCCTGTCTTTGGGATCCAACGAGATAAATACAAAATCTGAGCACAAACACCTGGGACTAACTCTTGACTCTAAATTAAATTTTGAAAGCCATATTCGAGAAGCTAGTTTAAAAGCAAGAAGGGGTATCGGTATGATAAAATACCTTTCCAAATATGTTTCTAGGAATGTGCTCGATCAGATATATAAGCTCTATGTGAGGCCCCACCTAGATTATGGAGACATCATATATCATAGATATGATCCTGAAATGCAATCTGCTTTCACACAAAGACTGGAGCATATTCAATATTCAGCTGCCCTTGCAGTCACTGGAGCATGGAGAGGTACGAGTAGACAAAGACTCTACGAGGAATTAGGTTGGGAAAACTTGTATCAGAGAAGATGGTATCGACGTTTGTGTCATTTTTTCAACGTGAAAAAGTCACAATACCCTCATTACTTGTTTGCGGAAATTCCAGATGAACGCGAACTTACCTACAATCTCAGAGCAACACGCGCTTACAACCAAAATTTTGGGCGAACTGTCCGTTTTGCGAATACGTATTTTCAAAATACTCGTTTGGAATGGAATCTGCTTTGTGATGATATAAAACATTCTGTAAGCATTGCTGAATTCAAACGTAAACTTCTTGCAATCATTCGACCATTAGGAAACTCTACATATAACATTCATGACATTGACGGTGTTAGATCTTTAACAAAACTTCGATTGAATTTTAGTGCATTAAACGAACATAGATTCCGGCATAACTTTGACTGCCTAAACCCGATTTGTAGTTGTGGAACTGGAAAAGAGGACAATGAACTATCTCCTGCACTGCCCACAGTTTGATTTGATGCGTACAGATCTCTTTGGTCAGCTTTCAGAAATCCCTGCCCTTGACATTAATGATATGGATGCAACAGCCTTGTGCGATCTCCTTTTATATGGCAGTTCACGATTGATTATAATTAGCAATAGGATGATCATGGATGCCACTATATCATACATTAAGACTACTCAACGCTTTAAGTGAAACCCCAAACAGCAGTTACCCCCCCTCCCCCTTTTTAGTTTTGTTGTATATATTCTTTGTAAGGGATTGTTTATTGTAAGTGTCGCTCGTAGTGGGAACACGATGACCTTGGGTCTTTTCCCGCTATGAGGGGCACAGTTGAATGTAAATATTAGAGTTGTAGTTGTTTTAAGTTGATAAGAAAAAAAAAAAAAAGCCACAACAGATAACCTAAAATGAGCACAGCAGACGAAACCAATTAATCTTTGGTTACAATACCTGAATCTGGGCAACCATAGGCATTCATCCTCAAACAAATCGCAGTTTTCCAGGTCAACGGAACTATTCTTAGATACCGTATTTTTAAACTAGATGATAACCAATGATAAACAATCCCCTCACGTGATTTGCAACCAGTGAAAGTCTGGAAAATGAAACAGATTGAATATATTCACATACCATCAAAAAACTTCTTCACATAAAATTGGAATAATTTGCAGGAAAGATTTAGGATATATAAATTGCGCTTAAAATTATACCTTATCGCTTCCCCCTTCCTGGTAGGTCGACAGGGATAACACGTCATTCCCATATTGAACTTTGAAAGTTTCAATCCATTTTTCCAATAATGGATCTCCTTGCATTGCAAATCCACTGATCACCTTTGCCATGCCAAAATCATATTGAAAGAACTGGTTCGTATCAGATGTCGTTGCACACCATGAGTTAGGAGTGTTTAGTTTGCTTCGCTTATCAGGTACTGTTCCACTTGAAGCACTCACGGTCGGGTTATTCGTGTTTGGCTCCCCAGATTCCATGCCAAAACTGGAACTGCAAACTGTAACAAAAATTGATTTTCAATGAATCAGTGGCCAAATTCAAATATCCTATGGCAGGTATTGCAAACGTCAATTTTTTTCGAGGTTTAAAAGAGCAATGACTTAGGGAAGTCTTTACCGCTGCAAAAACAGTAAAGTTAATAAGCAGTAGAACTAAAAAATTGCAGGCATTCTCGCTTGAATCAAGTCCCTCCAAATAAAAATTACTTGATTTATGGCGAAATGTAAGTCGATCGATCCATAAAGAAGATTTATTTCATTGCAAAAAGTCCAATATTAAAGTCAAGTTTGTTTTTGAAAAATGAGAATACAGGCCCAGCACCACTATTTTTGCCACCTTTCATTGAATTCGTTAACTTTAAAAGCAATGCCTTGTTGATACTGTTTTTAAATATGCATATATACAATACATTTAAATTAAATCACATTACATACCTTAAAAACAGGAAAAATACATTTAATTGAGATAAAAAGATTAAGATGGGAAAGAAAAAGAGGAATATGAGAAAGATGATACAGTACTACTTAAATAATTCCTATAGATATACCAAAGATAACCAAATTCAAGGCAAAGATAACCCGATATTTTATTTTGACACCTCATTCTTAGTTCAAACTGCAATTTCATTTGTAACCGCGTGACTGATGTACCTCTCCAAACTATTGACGCAGTACATCTGTTTCTTGATTCATGAACCAAATTAATACATTTTGTTTATCTAACGCTTTTGTTGCTGGGAACTCGGAATTAGAAAATGATGATTTTAACATTAAAAGACATTTAAAGACATTTAACGGGTGCATCAAAAGAAAATGATTACACAAAGACGCCTTTGTGTGTAGAGCAGGGCGGTTCTAAAGCCTAACTCCGTCAGAGACATTTTGAGCGCGCGCTCGAATCGCTCGAGCCTATGCATGCGTACATTGGAAATGATCACGGTCGCTGCAATCAGTTTCATGTTCGCTCGCGCGCGTTTGAGAGTAGGTCTCGCTCTTACTCCAAGGCGCTCACGCAAGAGCTCAGCCAATGAAATCTAGGGATTGAACGCTTCGAGCGCGCAGTCAAAAATTTCTCTGATGAAATTAGGCTTAAGGTGCCATTTCGAGTTTCACGCGCAATGCGATGATCAAGCAAGTATTAAACTAAATTTATAGAAGAAATTGGGCCAATGGGTGGCTGTTAGTCCCTTCTAATTCTATTGGTGCAGTCCCATCTGTATTAGTTCTTATACAACATTACAGACAAAATCATCCTCAATTTAGCTTAAAACAAGAAATTGATTAATCTATTCGGAAAAAGCTGAAACTTGAATATTATAGAATTGTCCCCGATTTAAAGTTTTGGAAATCTTGAGAGATTTGACCGGAAAAAACGTTCCGGATGAAAATTTTCACTCAGTCAGTTGCTTATCACCGTCAAATCTCTTATAAAGTTTGACTGAATGTCATTCTAAAATAATTCAATATCACGAGTGCTAGCGTCATGGAAACGTCCTATTATAAAACTCTCTTCTAAAAATTTTATGTCTAAAACTTTCAAAATTTTCTGAAATAAAATTGCAATCCTTAATTCAAATCTAAAGTTACAAATTAAGTACAAAAAATTTTTCAAAACAAGGTTGTGAGTTGAATTTGTGTATTTCTAGCCTATAACAAGATAGAAAATGCTGCCATCTTGATTTTGCTTGAAACTGCTCTCTTAATGTTCTTGGAAAAGCTTTAAATGCTAACAACACAAAGGAGATCACGAAACCAACGACGCAGTCGTATTATGCATCTGTTTTTTTTATCCCAACAATTCGCCAAAACTCAACTGTAGCCCAAGCTGAACATGTTCTGTTGAATTTTTCAAATAACTTTTATGCACAAATCAACACTCATATTCAGCATAAATAACTGTGCGTAGAATGCTAAAGATTGAATACTCACTTGGAGGTCGGCCGTAAACCTCAAGAGTCAACGTATTATCCCATAATACAGGGCTGTTTTTAATGAATTGAATGTATCTTGCTGATACTGGCTTCTCAAACAGGTTGAACTTGACACCAGCATTGTTTGTGTTTCCAATGAAAACCTTCAAGATGACAAGTTATGATGATTATAAAAGCAAATGCAAAGGAGATATAAGAACGAATAAAATCGCATTATTACTGAGCATGTCATGACGATAATCTACTAGTCATACCAAGAAATCATTACGTTGCTTGTTTCGTAACACAAATATCACGAAAGCAGAGAGGAAGCTTACTTTCTCATTTGAGCTAGATTCTTCTTTGATCGTGATATTTCTTGAACCCCGAGTATACTGCAATTTAAAGTCAGGGAAATAGTTTTTGCCGTACGTTCTGTCACCCTGTGTAGCAATTGCAGTTACCAGCATATCTCGGCCTAAATCAACTTTGAACCAAAGAAACGATTTTTCATTTTTGCTGCATCCCCAGGGTCTGTCATTGTTTAAGCGACCATCCTTTGGTTGGTATCTACCGTTACTAAGAAAATCTGTAGTTGCATAAGCGGAGAATCTGTTGTCTGGCAAAGCTCTGTTTTCAGCACCGAATTCATACACAGAATCTGAAGATTAAGTAAATGGATAATGTTAGTATCATTAGTATTTGGTGTCCCACAGAAAATGCGAAGTGTTTGTAAGAGGTTTGTTGGTGATGTCCTATCAACATCGTTATTAGATCAGATTCACTTATCTTCAAGTTGTCATACATTGATATAAGATATTGCGTTTTATTGGTTGTAGATAAAAAGAGAACGCACCAAAAAGTAACTACATGAACTAAAACCAAATACTAGAAAAAGGTTATCATAAAAATTGCTAAGAAAAAACCAAAACTTTGAGCATTCATACCGTCCAAACAGTTTTTATTTCTAGCCAAAGTGTATATCATTTATGTTAGTCAATTAACATTAATATTTTTGATGAAATTGTCAAAATTCTTGTCAGCATTTCCTGAAAAAGACTTTTTCATGTTAGAGACATGCACAGTATTTTATTATCAGCAAGAATAACACGTAGAAATTTAAGGATGAGTCGTTACCTAAGTTGCAGCCAAGAATCTCAATTCGCATACAGACACCTGAATTGTACGTGTTTGGTTTTATTTTCACGTATCTCGTTTGCAGCCGCACACGGAACCAGTTCACAACAATCGTGTTCTGATCAGAGTTTCCAATGAAAAGCTAAAAAAGAGTTGGTAGAAAGTATGAAGACATGATCGCATTAAGCTTCGACCAAGACAATCTTTTGTGGCTAATGAAGATAAAGGGCCATGATGCTAACTACAAATTCCTAATCCTCGACGTTGGGTAAATTTGCAATTGCTTTCAGTTTCCACACTATGTTACTACGAATGCTCAAGCTTGTTTCAAGTGCTGCTAGGAGCACTAGTAAAGTTACTATTTCCTCAGTGCTAACAAAAGCAAATCAAAGCCATAATAGAAAGGGCTCCGAAACTAAATCATGTTTTAACTCACCTTATTCCCAGTATTTTCTTGGTAGGTGACAAGAGAGCTGAGTGTTGTTCCATAGTCAACATAAAAATCTTTCACCCAAGATGCAGAGCTTGGGTTACCTTGAGTTGCAATTCCACTGACAGTCACGATTTTCCCAAAATCTACTTGCAGAAACTCGCCAGTGGTTCCCGAGGCACACCAAGCTGATGTTGGATTGTTTAAACGACCTGATACCGCTTCTTGTCCAGAGGAGTGGGAAGATGACGTCATTGCAAAACCTGAAGGAAGCGCACTGCCATGCTCAATGCCAAGGCCCTGTCCACAGACTGCAAAATGGAATACCACATCTCATTTCTATGCGCTAGAGGTACAAGCCAGCAACAAAGCGTAAAATGTTTTTATCTCGTACTCAAATGCTGACGCGATTTGCTTTCAAGCGAAAAACGCATCGATCCGTCCAAACAAAAAAGAAATGAAAAGATTTGGGATTGATTTATAGACATCAGTAGTAGCAATCTACCGTGATATGCCACCTTCTTTTGTGAGCATAGAGATCGCAATCGACTATAACAGATTTCATGGCTAAAGAAGTGGCACAGTGGGCATGTCGCTCTTTGGAGGGGGCTGAATAATTCAAAAATTGTAATAAAGCAGCAAATGTTTCAAGTTTTTCTGAAAAATCTAGTTCTTTAGGGGGGGGGGGGGGTATAGACTTTATGCTGAAGCCACTTTTTCCTGGGCTAGAGGACTAAAAAGGTGAAAGACGAAAGTAAGATTAAAGTCAAAACGGATAGTTGAAAAAGACTGCAGGAGATTGTGATATAGAGTTTAGGCTTGATATATGTGTCGCAATTAAGTCACGATGAATCTAATGACAGTAAAAAACTTCATCAAACGAGTCTAGAATGATCTAATAAACAACAGAGAGCAATGCCAATTTTTCTGAATAATACTGGGAATGTGAGAAGAGCAGGACATTTCTGGTGATGAGGTATGTAGCTTTTGTTTGTCAGTTCAGGTCTAGGCCTCAAGGTTGGCGAGATAAGGATGTATGTGAAAGCGAACAAGGATGCGCTGCGAGAATTAAAATTGATAGTTATTTAACAAATAGGACGAAATCATAGTAAGGTAATTTTTTCGACGCTTCTAAAATGGGACGTACAAATCAAACCAAATACTTACCATAGAGGCATCCATAGAGTTCGAATCTAGCACACAAATAAGCACCATTTGAGTCTGTAGGTCTAAATTCAAGATATCGTGCAGAAAAGGGTCGATTAGGAAACATCACATCTATTTTCTGGTTAGGACCAGTAGCTCCTGTAAATTTCTATAAGAGAAAAACATTATGTAACCTGTGATTAATTAGATGTGGTCAATCAGAAGAAACAATACAACGCAAAGTTGTTGGAAATATTAATTTGGAGCTAAACTCCAAAAAATATTATGCAAAAATTAATAATAATATACTTTCATAGAAGATTGCCAAGTGTTTTTGCAGAATCGAGTTACTGAATATATGCTTAAATAATAATAAACTGAGTTAGCTATCACCAAAGTTGAAAATGGAAAGAATATCAACACAAAAAGAAGCAAATTCTTTACTAAGAAATTGAATGACAGGCTATAATGGTATTGTTGATTTTGATAACTCTTTGTTAGTGAGGTTGACATGCAAATACTGGAATATCTTTCAGTGAGCTTAAGATGCTAACAAATATTTTATTGAACTAAAGATACTAACATTTCAATAGTCAGCAACAATCAAATACGTTGCATTAGAAATTTGAGGAAAAAGAAAAGTTCTGGCAAATAACAAAACTTTTGTTAAAACAGTAATAGAACTGATTTAGAAGTCACTCTGGAACAACAAAAAAGATATCACAAGACTTTCAGAAAACTTACCATTGGATCATTGTATGTGGTTGTTGTCACATACACATAGTTCGTCAGATCAACACTGTACCTGAGAGTGAACTCTTTTATGTAACTTGATGGACCTGATTGGTCTCCTTGGATGGTGATACCTGTTATGCTAAATGTATGCTTCAAATCCACTTTCACCCACTGTCCAATTCTTGGTTGACTTTGATCTGCACACCAACAATCTGTGTTGTCAAGTCGAGCATGATAGCCTCTGCGTGGTTCGTAGTTTGGGATGGAGGATGATGCTGTTATTTGATCATTTGCAATAATTCTAGTCTTCATTCCCAGGGGCTGGCTGCAAACTGGAAAATGATCAAACCATGAAGGTAACTGAATTAAGATTACACTACAAAATTTTGACAAACAAAACCTTACTGTAAAAAATATAAATCACTACAATAAAATATAATTAAGATAATAAAAAATGGAAACATTACATGTAATTATACTCAAAATCAAGTAAAACCCAAATAAGAGAAGATAATTGTGCTGTTTTCCATCTAGGGTTACAGAACATAGTTAAGGTTAAAGTTATAACTTCTTTCAAGTTTTTGTATTCTTTCGTGCTAGCATGAAACCCTCACGAGATGTTTAGTAAAATAGTAGTATTCATCGTTTCCTAAGACAAAAGCTTCTGAACTAAACTTAGCTGGACTTTCGACTGGTGTTTGGTATAAATACAAGCGTAGATGTTGTTGGTTCATTATCGTTGATTTGGGAAGACATACTTGAGGTAGATGAATCAAAACTAGAAGCTTCTCTTGTGTTGATTTGGACGAGACCTCTAATCAAACAACCAATATTGCAAATGCATCGCTTACAAAGATCACAAGTGCAACTGATCGGTGCAAATTTCTTTAAAATATTTGAAAAGTTAGGTAGAATTTTTGTCGGGAAGACGATATAATGAAATCAAGATTTCTTCTACATTCGAAAGGAATGCCAAGATTGAGAGAGGGATCTAAAATGACAACTAGTTCTGCTTTTTACGCGACAACATGGCATTTTGAAGACCATGGCAAAAATGTATCAGTTGTTTTTATCTGCTGTTCAGTCTGTTTGCAATAAGACAATAATTCCCAATAAAATTAGGAGGATTGCTCTAGTAAAATGAGCTTAAAATAGTGCATTTTTCATGGAACTAGAAGCATAAATGCTCGTACACTTTCCAGTCCTTCGGCGGCAACCATCGACAGGGGATTCCCACGACACTCCAGCAAAGTGCATGACCTTAGTTTTTGTTCTTGCTTTGGGAACTTTGAGCCTTTGCTAAATATTTTAAGCCTTAGATACAATTTTTCAACACAATAGAAATCAATGGGGACTTTGGAAACCGCAGCTTGTTAATGAACTTGATAAAAAGAACCTCGACGAATAAAAAATGCATATGGCTGAAACAGTCGACAACTTCTTGTTAAATGTCAGATAATTAGACAAATCTGGTATTCATACTGACGAGATTGACAAATTTAAGTATTAGACAATTCCATCAAAAGACATATCCATTAGATATACACTACCATTTTTAACCTGGGTTAACGCTAACCTGGGTTGAACCCAGGTTGAACCCGTCTTCGTTTACACTACATTTGCAACAAAGTATAGTGTAAATGCAAAGTTGGGTTGAATCCAGGTTAGATTCGTCACGCATGCGCTTCGTTGTGAAGAACGCTCACTGGTACATGAATCTAGCTGTTTCTGGATGTCTTCGTCCGACCACATTTCGATTAACAACATGACTTTATCGTCGCCCCATAGTTTACCTCTTTCAGCCCTTGTTTCATTCATTTTCAAGATATGCTGCTGAAAATTGAAGGGCCTTTCTGCACGGGCGTTCCAAGACGAATTTGTCTTGACTTTGTGTTTGGCGCCTTTCATGGCTCAAAAGGTGCATGCACGAATTAGATCGTTAACCTGGGTTCAACCCAGGTTTACGTTTAGACTGCATTTCGAAGTTTTCAACCTGGGGTCAACCTAGTTTCAACCCACCTCCAGAGTGGGGTTGGCTTAATCCAGGCTCAACCCGGGTTAGCTGCGTTTACACTACAAAATCTCTAACCCAGGTTAACGTTAACCCAGGTTCAACCCAGGTTCAATCCAGGTTAAAAGTTGTAGTATAAACAGGGCTATATACGTTTCAATTCTATTTAGAGTCATATTTAGTATATAATAAAAGGCGAAAAAACAACTACAAATACATCGGTCAAGGAAAGGGGATCTTAAACCATGAGATAAAGCAGTACGCCAGAGGAGCAATCAGGACACGAGAGAAGTAACAAGGAATGGTAAACAACCTAAAAGGATAAACAAGGAATAAAGGCACAACAAAGAAAACAATGCGGTAAAAGAAAGTTTGAACATAATCATAGGAATGGAGGACTGTTAAGCGAAGGTCTGCGACGATGTATGAGTAGGCTTTTATTAAAAAGTAGATCAAGGGAGATATTTGTTTTGAAGACAATAAAAAAATCTTCAACATATGCTACATGCACGAATGGAGGAAGGGCTGGGGGTTTTAACAGAAATAGAAATCAAGTGACCAATGACGTTATTTTCTACGGCCATCAATATTATTTACTTTTTTTCTGAAAAATCTCTCAGACCATCTTGCTAGGCATTGTAATCAGATAATAAAGTTCTAAAGAATAAACTCTATTATACATGCATATAACGAGTTATTGCTATTAAAAGTTTGCATGACGTCACCAAAATGGTGGTTCTGCAGTTTTCAAGCACGTGGAATACAAAGGCTGATGGTCGTAATTTAGCTTGTTTTACTTCGATTTTGCATTTTTTGGCCCTCGTGTTATACTTCTGGTGAACAAGATATTCATTGCAAAAATGAATTCTTGTTCATCACACATAACGTTCCTGTTGCTTTCTGTACGTTGGTTTTTTCACTGAAATGTCCTTAAGCCTAGCCTGCGCTGCAGACAAAAAACATTCACGAAGCCTATAACATTTATGTTTTTTCTCAGTGCATCAAACTTAGTAGATGTCCGAAGATTTATGCTGTTATCACAATCTGTAAGATGCAGGTCATAAGGGCACAACTTATAACAAGATTACTGTTTGGACACAGCGTGAAACTTTACACAACAGATACGTTTTTGGGCCCTTTAACCATATAATAATCAGACATACAGATCATATGACCGCATTCAAATACTTCCGCTACTTTCACGGAATATTGTGGACACTTTCAGCCTGAACTTTTTTGGAAAAAAGAAGCTTTATCATTCACTAAGGAATTTTCTTAACGTTTGCTGTTAAAATAGTGTGCAAGAGCAAGTAAGACAACTTGGAAAGTAAGACAGACACCGGGGAAAGTTGAGAAAAACAGGGTAGCGCTATAAACGATTAAAGGAGGATTGATGATGGTCCATTTCTTAATTCTTTACGTTTTTTTGCAGAAGTGAAGTCTATAGGCCCCTATAGCCCCTCTTTGCTCTAAAGTCCCTGTAATGGCGGTTTTGTTATTCATTAGCCGATTTTTATTGCCATTTTTAATTTAGAGAACCAAAGAGGCGGACATGAACAATCCGGAGAGGTACCAAATTTTGCTTGATGTCATATTTCTTGGAGAGCATTCTCTGACCCAAGGTGACCTGTGATTTGTTGAAGCAGTCAACAATCTCCTCGACGTGTATGACACGAAGTTACTCGGATTATTTGAACCGGTTTTTTTACCTTCGCCACCAAAGATACTGAGAAACAAATCGAAAGATACTGCCAGCTTTCTTCTTCTATAACACAGCTCACGATAAGGAACTTACTGTATGTCCGGTCAAACAGATAACCACATTTTGGTTGATATTTCTATCCTCCCAATAAACAAAGTAATTGTCTGGTTGTACTGTTAGGACAATGATCATTTGGTTTATCGACTCTAGTTGCAAATAGGATTTGAAGGCATTCTTATTTGTAGGCAATGATACAGTAACATTGGAGCTCAGTATATGAAGAAGTACTTACAATCTGTAACTGCATTGCCTCCCCAAAGTGGAACGGTAACCAAAAGAAAGGCGATTAAGACACTGGAACATGGCATATTTTGATGAAGGTAAGGTTACACTTCCACGGTCACAGAGAAGTCCCCGTGTGTTTTCCATCCACATCTAATTACGGAAGTAATTTGCAATTGGCTTGAGTTATTTCTCCACCGCAGTCTTTCTACGCAATGGCCAGTTACAACTACAGACTGTTAGTTTTTTCGTGCAGACTCTTTCTATGAAGAAAATGATAAATTTTAAGATAACGTTTTTTCCTGCAGTAATAAAATTATAAATTTGTTTTGCAGAATATTTTCATGCTGCTGCAAGACATCAAGTGCTGATGTGTTTGATTGCCATTAACTAAATAAAAGTTTAATATATAAACTGCCCAAAGGCATTGAAGGAGCACCAGTGCTTGGTAGGTAGTTCGTGGTCCCTCCCCGTCCCCCAAATACTGAAGAACACAATTTTATAGGAAACATTTTTCCGTATTATTTGAAAAGCACTTTCAATTCTGTGATATAATATACCTAGTTTATTAAATTCACGTTGATAAAAGATTAGGTCTAGTTACTTAATGTATCTTTAATGACACTTCATCGTCAGAGTTCATTTGTAAAAAGGCAGAGAAATTTGAATTGGGAAACTGAACTGGATTATACTGAACTGGTTCAAATGACATCTTCGACAATTTTAATTTTTTAGAGGAAGATATAATTATCATTTTTTTAGTAGCATTTACTGTTTTTTTGAGAGAAAGCTCACTGCCTTGTTTAAATAGCAAAATCAAAAGTAGCATTTGCAGATTGTTACGGTCTCTCAAAATATCGAGATAAATCTTTTTTATCACCAAACAAAAAGCTAGAAATAACTCTTCAAATTTAAACAGAGAAAATCCTAACTATGTTTTACTGTTTAATTTATCCATACCACGAAGGTAAGTGCCACGAAAACTTGTTTTATTAACAGATAAAGGCAGCAAGAATGTAAATGCAAAATTGATGCAAATGGTCAGAGCAGCTAAGATTACAGAGATGCACAAAAACATGAAACAATTGACATATAAACATGTAAAAAACAACAATTTTAGTTCTCTTTGGAAATCTTTATCATAGATTGAAATTCAAGTAATTTCAAAACTGTTGTTCAAGTTTAAAGTATTTGCTGCCAATGGAGCGATACCGAATTCATGCAAGCGTTTATAGGAGAAAATATTACCAAAATTGCAAAAACATTTTATCAAGTTCAATAAAAATACCAAGTCATCCAAAATGTCCCAGTGCTCGACTCCAGTTAGACAAAGCCTATGGTTTTACTTTTCTCTCGTGTACTCGGATTCAGAATTTCTAGCTTCATTCTCTAACTAACAGATACTAAATCCTTTTCCTACCCTGACAAAGAACACAAATTTTTATTCATAAAATAATAACAGCATACTTTGTAATTCATCCTGCACCAATAATTTTCGTAATATCACTTATGCATTTAAGTTTCAGGCTTTAAGAAGCTTGTTTTCATACTTATCTATAATCTGACTTAAAATAATAAATTATGTCGAAGCTCCGTTCTTCAATTTACTGTATATAAAAATCCAAATTAAATATCATCATAAAATGTTATGTCAAACAAGGCGAAAGGAATAAAAAATCCTCCAATTTATTGTCAAATTCATCAATTCATTTTTTATTGTCTAGCTGTGGCTTTTTGACAACCAGCAACAATATTTTCAGAACTACTTATTTTATCTTCTATTTGTAGCCAAATAAATTAGCATAATCAATCAATCATCTGAATTAGGAGGTGTCAAGCAGTAAATTATAAAAGGCAGTCCCATTTGCTCCGAGACTTGGCGCAACTGTCTGCAAGGAAACTTTTTTGCAGTTATACGCAGCAACTAAGCAAAGCCAAATAGCTAACATTTTTTCATTGCAAATACATGCTCATTACTCTGTAATACATTTGTCTACAATATTGTATCATATAGTATCATATTATAATGACAGTTATCATATAAGATTATACAGTTGCTCAAATATAACTTCAAGTATTATTATCGTTTTTGAATGATTTCTAAAATGCCGATCCCAAACCTTAAATAAAATTTCATTATGCTTCCCCATTTTGCTACCCATGCATAAATCATACAGGCTTAATTATTGCTACCAATACATCAATTACAAAGTTTTAGCTACTTGTATATTCAATAAACTCCTTTTATGGTGATATAGAGGTGAGATATGAGTGCTGAATTCAGGCAGCAGCACTAGTGTATTAACACAGGAAATCACATATCGCTGATACAGACGTTTAAGGTGTCTAGTTCAATCACAGTTCTTAAAGGAAGATGGATTGGATTAACTTTTCACAAAAATATTGATGAAGTTAATGAATAAACTTTGTTTATTTCTTGCAACGTAATTTGCGACTTCAATAACAAACTTTGGAGGAATGTACAAATCATTTGATGGTTTTCTGATATTAAAAGAGGGCGAAGACCCTATACAAAGAAGAGAAATGAGCAATAAAACGTATGGTTTCTGTGGTATGGAATTTTGGGATTGTTGCAACAGCTACTTACAAATGCAGAAAAAAACGATGAATTGAAAGTACGGTAAGATTAAAGACAGCTAAGGAAACTTTGTTTATTTTTGGCGTCAACTTATAGTTCAAGGAATAGTCAGCTAAAGATTTGTTTTTATTTCAAGCTTATAATCACAGCCAGTAAATTTTGTCTCGTTAATATATATGATTAATTCATCACAAGAAAAACAGTCAGCTGACGATGCAACGTAAAAAGGTTGAAAAAGGACCGATAAATATGAAAGCAAAAGAAACCGAGTGTAATTACATATCACAGGTATTGATTAATCGTCTTGTATTTGTTACTCTTTTGAAGAAGAACTTCTGATCTCTGTACCTTTATGAAATGACAAGCTATTAGTTTGGCGTTGACAGAAGCAAGCTTCAAAAACGCTTTTGAAAAACCTCCTTATGTCTGGATGATTTCTTGCGTAGATTATTGGATTCACACATCCGTTGAAGACACTTAGATGTGTTAGCACACGCACCAAAAGAGAATAATCTCCACAGCGTACTCCTTCAAAATCGGACACCAAGAAATCAACTGCTCTGACCAACAGACTCATAACGATGGGCATCGTAAGAATACAATACAGCAGGACGATAACAAAAAACATCTTTGTGATCTTCCTTGCATCCTTGAATCTTTTGTTGGCTCCCGAGTTTGATGGTACGTTTCGTGCTGAGAGCGCAATGGCACATCTGATGTAGAAGACACACATGATAACCAATGGCATGACCCACCCTATGCAGCACCTCACCAGCTGAACGATTTGGGAACGGGTTGTCAGGGCTGCTGTCTGAAGTAAAAACAGTGGTGAAAAGAGAAACCCAAACAACCAAACCAAGGAACAGGCAAGAAGTTTCTTTCCCTTTGTAATTCTTCTTGCTTGAAAAGGCTTCGCAATGGCCCTAGAAAATAGATTACGGTAAAACTCTGAGATTTCTCGCCAAAATCTGCCATTTGATAACAAAGCAACGCAAAAATCTCGCTATCTTCTTGAATCAATTACTTACAACACAAGCAGTCAAAGCAATCGGTACTCATTCACTAAACAATATTTTCAATACTTATCCAACAAACGATTTTATTTCGGGCACGATGTCAAAGTGAATTTTTCAAAAATTTTAGATTGTTCTTCTAGCAAACTACGAGCAAACTGCAGGGAGAGGATTTGAAATTGTTCCTCGTTGAAATGGGTAAATGTGAACAGACAATGGTTTTAGACAGTGACTACAGTTTTATATTTGCTTATTGATTTCGGAAAAAACGACAGGTCTGGTACCATCTATCTGAGCCGTAGGTGCCCACAACTCGAGGGCAACATCGTATTTTTCTTTCGGGATTCTATCAACAAAAATGTTTGCAAATGAGAAAATCTATACAATTAAAGCAGTGACTTATTGAGGTCATTGCAAGTTAAAGTGTATGTTGATATGCGACTCACCAGAATCGATCACAGGAAATAACAGCATGTGTGTATGTTGTGACTACCATGCTGCCATAAATGAAGATCTTTGATGCCGTGTAAACTGTGTAATGGATTTGTACACCAGACATTCGTAAAAAGAAAATAAACGGGAAGCTTATTGTGTAAATCAGGTCGGACAGAGCCAGAGACAGCACAAAGACATCGCCACCACGTTGAAACTTCTTTTTTCCTACGAAAAAATATGGTTCAATTTAAAAGATGGGATTTATAGGGGTTTCAAGAACCTTTAAAATATTCTGGGCAACGGTCAGCTTATAAGTGGGAGAGAGAAGGCACAGGATAACAGAAAAAATAGGAATTTTGGGCGGTACAGTTTCAGATGTGTTAAGTCATATTAACAATGGTACTACAGATAATTAATAAAAAAATAACTTATTTGTTAACATCGAGTTATCTAATGTTGTGCAATTGATCGAGTGCAAATCCTGTATTTGAAGCTTTTAGATTAAACCAAGGTCTTTGGAGCAAATAGTGTTTTCATACCTAAAATGCAGCAAGTGACGGCATTCCCAAGGGCTGCAAATACAAATACAATAACCAAGTAAACTCGCATTATGATTTTCTCATTCTCGCCATATTGTGTCATCTGACACGAAACAGTTGCATTGATATTGGAACTTGTGATCAAAGTCCCAGTCACATTCTTCTCCATTAAAAGAAAATTGTTAGAAAACGACATCCTTTCTTTTCTTATTTTCCTTCACCAAGTTTGGAAATCAAAATTCAACTGGTCTTTACATTTTTATTTCACCTTTTATACTCTCTGACCAGAAAAACAATACGCAAATCCACCTTACAAGGAATCAATTAACTAACTGTTGAAACTGTCTTTATGTAAAGAAAAGAAAGCTTAAATTAATTGATCACCTGTCCTTTGGCTATAAGCACGCAAAACGAAATCTTCTCGGAAGATTCAAAGCGATGCAAAATGTTTACACTCACTTGTCATAACAACAACCACTTTCTTTATGTTTTATAAATTGAAAAAACAAAAACAAGGATAATATTAGCAAGCAGTATCAAAGAAAAATTGGAATTATTGAGATTGTGCCTAGAAACAAATAGACTTTGAAAGTACACACAATTTATGAGGGAAATTATAAAAGACTTTTATAAAAGATTTATGAGGGAA